ATTTAATGATTGTGGTCATTTGCATTTTGTTTGGATTTCTGAGTATATATTATAGGTATGCTTCTTGGTTGGGTTAGTTCAATGGCTCTACAGTTTAGTCATCTTTAATCCCTTTGACCTCATTCTTGAATCATGTGGGGGTACTGTATTACTGTTATCTTGTTCACAATTATCTGTTTGATGGGGGATATCATAGACAATGATATTTTCAGGGTTAGAAGGGTTGCCCAGGGCATATACTGTGTTTTCTGGCTTGTGCTTTTTTAATAGTGGTGATATGAATTTAAACAAACCTAAATAATACATTAATCTAAATCAAATTGAACTCATAAGCAAATGAATCTATTAAAGCAGACATGTAAGAACGACATTGTACCCACAGAGATTTATTAAAACAACCTTATTCTAAAATCTTTTTTTATTTATAGAATTAGCAATACATTGCATTGGGGAGGGGGGGCACTTTTCCTGGGATTTGAACTGGTGACCAAGGGGGGGAAGGGGGAGGGACCTCACCACTGAGGTAAACCCATCGGTCACCTTATTCTAAAATCTTTTCTTAACTAAATCAGTAAATTTTTATCAGAGTATTGGAATTAGTCTTTCCAGTAGGGTGGAACAAAGTGAGGAGACAGTGACTGTTAATGGGGTAGGAAGCCCAATGTCGTAAGCTCTCTCATTTAGGTTTAGGAAGGGTTACAGCAAGATAATATTGGCATATCTATTGCAAGTTACCATTATGGGGTTTATGAACATTTATTTTATTGTGAATTGTGTAGTTACATTGTTTTCTTTTGGCTTATTTTACTTAGTGTAGTTTCATTAGGACAGAATTAATGCAGTTTGAATGTAGGAAAAATTTGAAATAAACATTAAGTTGCTTTGTGTTGAAACAGTAGTTTGTTAAAACAAATTGCTTCTTTACTTGGCAGAAATGTTCTTGTCAAAGGTGGAGACCTGCCTGATTCATTGGATGCTGTTGATATCTTCTTTGATGGTAAGCCTCTAAACTTCAGAAATGATAATACTATTTCTTCATCTACTTGATGTATGAGTGAAAATGGGATACTCAATACTTAGAATGATCATTGCAGGTGAGCACTTATATGAGCTGCGTTCGTCACGCATAAAAACTCATAATACACATGGTACTGGTTGCACTTTGGCATCATGTATTGCAGCTGAGCTGGCTAAAGGTGCTTCAATGCTCGAGGCTGTTAAGGTACTACATATGTGCCTTACTTTAAGGGATGCAGGGAGAGTCTGCGACAAACTATCTTTCTTTCTTTGTAGTACATATTCCCAAAATAGTCATACTCAAGAATAACCGAAGATAATTAAGGGGTTAGCATGTTAGTACAGGCGAAAATTTGTTCCCCTTTCTGTTGGATCGAAACCCAGGTGTGGCTTTTTGAGACCCAAAAGCAGTGCCTTCCTGTTGTATGGCATTTAAAAATACATATATAGCATTGATAAAAATATTGTTGACTTTTTTCTATTTAGAGTTGCATTGCTTGAGATGAGTTTGCCTGATTCCAAGTACGAGGGGAAAATTTGTTCAAAGACGAGATAGAAGTTTGAATTCCACTTTTTCTGTGTACGGTTGTACAGAGTAGAGGATAATGACTATTGACTAATAGTAATAATGCATGCTGTCCACTCCAATACCATAATTCACTCGACTGAAGATTATACATTGTCAGACCCTGAGGATTTTTCTTGATCGCTCAAGGTAGTCAGTTACAAATTATGAGTCCCATCTCTCTTCCCTCCTCCTTCCTCTTTCATTCCACAAGGCTTTCTTTTCGTGTTGGTCTTTAGGATATTGCCATAAGTTTTGATGCTAGTTGAGTTGCAATTTATGTTTCCCACGATCTCATATCATGTTCTTGTGTTTCTTATTTTAAAAAAATGCCATGTTCTTAATGCTCTCTCTCTCTCTATCACACACACACACATACAAAAACAGTTGGAACGCCAGAATCTTTTATCTTTTTTATCTTAATTTTGGTAGGTAGCTAAATGCTTTGTTGAGACTGCCTTGGATTACAGCAAAGAGATTTTCATTGGAAATGGTCCCCAGGGCCCCTTCGATCACCTAATGAAGCTTAAGAGTAACGCTCACAATTCTGGTAGACAAGTCAGATTCAATCCTAGCGACCTATTCTTGTATGCTGTTACAGATTCAGGTATGAATAGAAGGTGGGGTCATTCTATCTCAGATGCTGTTAAAGCTGCTGTACAAGGAGGCGCCACCATTGTCCAACTGAGGTTGGTTACTCATCAGAATTTTTATACACTGTAGACTTTATATCTCTCTGATGACTTACATGCTAGTGATTGGTGCTTCCATTTGTATGTGTTAGTACATCTATAACTAGTCCTAGAGAAAGATGATGTTGATTTTTCATGTATTTGAAGTGATCATTGCCTTTCTCTTGTGGAGTGCTAATTATGTTTTTTTATTTCAAGTTGCTTTAAGATTAAAGATAATGAATTAAACTCCCAGGGCCCTCTATATTTCTGGAAGCTGATGAACGTATTACTACCCTTGTAGTTCTTTTGTAGAGTCAGATGCTGGTTCAACTTTTATCAAGAAATGTCTAATAAAAAACTTGATAACTTAAAGGACTTTGTATGTATTTTTTATAAAGATATAATCTATATGCATCGTATGTTTATTGTTTCACATTGGGATTGCCTACTTGGAACTGTGATCAACTGTTATCCAGTTCCTCTCATGTCTGTTATTTTTGTATATTCTTTTCAAAATATTTTTTTCGGATTCATTCTAACTCACTTAGGTCACCTACTCTACCTAAATTGAAACGTACCCTTCTCAATGAGCCTTTGTTTGGGTTCATGTCCAAAACTATGATTATGAGACATAAAAATTTTGTGGCTTTTAGTTTTGCATTTGGTGATTTTGACTTACTTTGCAGAGAAAAGGATATTGATACACGGGATTTTGTAGAAGCAGCCAAGTCATGTCTCCAAATTTGCCGTGCCCATGGAGTTCCATTACTAATAAATGATCGTATTGATGTTGCACTTGCTTGTGATGCTGACGGTGTGCATATTGGCCAGTCTGACATGCCAGCACATACTGCACGTGCTCTCCTTGGACCTGAAAAGATAATTGGTGTCTCTTGCAAGACACCAGAGCAAGCAGAGCAAGCATGGATTGCTGGCGCTGATTACATTGGTTGTGGCGGTGTATATCCAACTAATACAAAGGCAAACAATCTCACTGTTGGCTTGGACGGTCTGAAAACTGTTTGTTTGGCTTCTAAGTTACCTGTGGTTGCAATTGGCGGGATCAAAGTTTCAAATGCACGTCCAGTGATGGAAATTGGTGTACCGAACCTGAAAGGTGTTGCAGTTGTATCTGCTATATTTGATAGCGAATGTGTGTTGACAGAAACTAGGAAATTGCATGCAGTGCTAACAGAGGCGACAGCAGCAGTGAAGTGAAACATACCCGGATAAGGCTTTGTCGCAAATTTCTCTAAAGTTTGAGTATCATAATGGCTTTAGAGATTGCGGCACTAGCATGATTATGATGTTCACTTTTCTTGTCAGTGGTTACAGAAGGCAACCCATCCTCACTATTTTTTGAGTTCTCTGCACCTAAATTTTATATATTTTGCTTAGTCAGCATGGGCGTTTGCTTGCTCGGTATGGACGTTTGCCTTTTGTAATATTTACACAAGGTCGTTCTGTAATGATGCAATGTGATATACTGCTCTTAATTAATTGATGACAGCCCGCCATGTGCTTCGCTTCTGACTTGAGTTGGTTGACAACAATTATTGTATTTTTCTTGGGTGCAGATTTGAGTAGATTGAAGAATATAAAAAGTTCCCTTTCTTTCTTGAGCCCTCAACTGTATTTTTAAATTTAGATTAGATCTACCATAATTTCATCTTTGTTTTTACTCCCATAAGTCAAACTTTATCCTGACGTGGACTCCTTTTAAGGAGGGAGAGAGCACTCAACTTCAAAACAACTTCAGCCAAGAAATTATATGGATACTGTGGAAGTTTAGAACAAGTTTAGTGCTAAAAATATTGCAGGAGAAATTCAAATCTCATTTGGGAGGAAGAAATTATATGTATATTGGAAGTTTGGAAACCTCAAATTGTTAAATTTGTTCATTCTTGTGGTTAAAATGTATATAACTAGCAAGCGACTTATAGCTCGAGTGGTTAAGAGCATTTATTGTGCACCTGAGGTCCTAAGTTTGATTCCCCCTTTCTTAATATTGCTCGTAAAAAAACAAATGTATAGAACTAAGGTCTCAAGGATAAAGAGGGCCACAATCAGCCAAGACTAGAGAAGTCCACTCTCAGTTGATTACTGGGAAGCAATGGTGCAGACAACATGACACGTGAGGGCCGTGAAAAGTTATGACAAAGACAGGTTAAGGATGTCGGTGTCTTCTTCTTCACCTTTGAGCATTATGATTTAGATTTACACCATATTTTTCGAGAAGCTAACATAGTTGCAGATTTCTTAAATATATATTTTTTTTTTTTTTTGGGTCGAATTTCTTAGCAAATATAGAACATAATTTTTCACATCCTTGGTTATGTTAGCGTGGCAGTTTGTTAAGATATACGGATAATGAAATCTCTAGGGCATCCTCTTTGCAAGTTTTCTTTGTTCCATTAAAACAAAAAACAAAAACATAAAAAGCTTATGGCAAAGACAACAAAAATGTCAGCCGTTCAATTTCTCTCTCTGATTTGTTACATCACCGGAAAGAAAGGAAAATGAAATTACAAGTTTCTCAGTCAAATATTAATAGTAGATGCCATTGACTCATCCCAAGCAAAATTATGCCTGATATTAGATCAACCCAACAAATAATAAGTCAATGCAAGAGACTTGTAGCTCAAGTGGTTAAGGACATTTACTTCCCGAGTTCCTATGTTTCATTCCCCAGCTTGCGAAAAAAAAATATCAATAGACTTCACAGAACAGAAGCATCTACTAAATTAAATCAAATTGGAATTGCTTATTCCATCAAGAATTAAACCTGCAGGAAGAAGAAAAATAAAAGCATTGCACTACCAGACAGACCATAAAAAGTGAAGAAGCAAAGTAGTAATTAAGATATAGGGTAAACCCAAATATATAACAAAATGTTATTATGTTCTAACTGAACAAACCTCCATACATACCATACCCCATTAGGGGGTAAAGTCTCCTTAAAGAGAATCCCTTGTTCTCTGATGAAACAATACAAACAAACCTTTTACACCTTTTCCCCTCCAAACCTCCCGCCCTCCCTTAAACTGGAAAACAAAGACAAACAACTCAATTCCACAACCTTTTAACTACAAATTCTAGTAGTGATACATCCAAGGTCACAGTCTCAAGACAAACTAATGCTCCTCAGCGCCACACTATAATTTACAAAAGTTTGTTTATTGAAACACCATCGCCTACGAAAAGAACTGACTGTTTATACAAGCACGACAACATTCTCAACTACGCAGATACTGAGAAACCAAACTTCTTCGGTTCTCCGATTTTGAGGAAGAAATCGGTCCTCAGCTAACACGTACTTCTCCACTTGCATGTATTTCTTTGACTGTCTTTTCATACTCGTCTTCCTCCTCCTCGCCTTCTACCTCTTCCTTTGTATCACCATCTTCTTCTCCCCACCCAAAGCCTCCAATCGATCGGGAAACAGGAGGAGGAATTTTGGCTTCTTCCACTATCTTCATGATGTCTTCGATACTTTGGAGGGAAAAGGTTGGGTTTTCTTTTCTGTAGTAGATGGTTTGAGCTGCTTCCGTAAGCTCTCTAGGCAAGTTCTTCAAAAACCATGGATGGTTCTTGATTTCTTTAATGGTGATCCTCTGAAACAAGAATTGAAGCCAGTTTAGGACACGATGAAAGAGCATTAAACAGAAAAAAGAAAAGTTAACTGATAAGAACAAACTTCAAACTCATAAGACCTGAGCTAACTAACGCCCAACACTAGCATAAAATGAAGTCATGGCCTATTTAGGGTCTCTCCCGTTCCTCCATGGACTTTCATCTTACACAGAAGTGATATTTCCCTACTTTTATATTCATTTCTCTTCATTTTAAGGGGACCTTCAGGAAAGCAAACCTAGACAGGAGACAAGTCCAGGATGAGCCTTTCTTGGCACATTATACGATGCATTATATGCACACCCCAATCCTTCCAAAGATCAATTATCTGAGTTAACATTATAGGCAAGTAATTATTCCAAAGCCTAGCAAGGCAAAGTTTGTAAGCGATATGTACATTTATGCCAAAGCAATCTAAGAAAATGAGACTTAAACTTTTTCTTTGCGAAAGAATCTACTTAAAACCTCAAAGTTTCCATTATACACCCAGTCTAAGCACAAATCTGTTCTTCTACAAAGTTCAGAAGCCTAAAGTTTTTCTGTTTGTTTAAGTGATAAATTTATTGCGTAAGCAGAAACATAGTATAATATATACCCTTGCTGGATTTGCAACAAAGATGCGAGAGAGCAGATGCCTACAATCTTGAGATATGTGAACATAGTCAGGGATCTTGTACTGAACGGCCATTATTCGCTGCATTATAAGAATGAAAAGTAAATACGGTTAAAAATAAGAAAAAGGTGAATTATTCAACTTTGAGAGAGGTTGAATACAAGGTAAAATTACATTAATGGTTTTCCTGAAATTCTTTGGATCTTCTTGGTCTTCAAAAGGATATGCTCCCACCAGCATAACATATAGGGTCACCCCACATGACCCATACATCTGCCAGCTGGATAAACATAAACCAAAATCAGACGCTAGAAGTAAATCCTGTAAATTACTATTTGAATTCTGGGCACAAAAAACTTAATTAACAAGAGTCTAAAACATCATTTCATTTCCTGCTCTTCCCAGGCAGGAGAACGGTTTAACTGCCTAAATTCCTAAGTGTCATGTAAGTGAGCATTACTATCATGGAAGTAAATAATTGAGCACAATAAATGATCGTATGAGATATAGAATGGTCATAGAAAGAAAAAATAAACTAATACTATTTTTAAGAGAAAAAGAAGGGAGTACAAAATGAAGAACTCACATTTAAGAATATCAGAAGAATGATTTCATACAGGTAGGTTACATTGTTGCAAATTGTAAATTAAATTTCTAATGGCAGCATCAATATTGCACATCATAGATTCTTTCTATCAACCTAGTAATTAATGTGGTTCGTGGATAAAATTAGACCACAAACAAAAATATGACCTGCAGAAGAGAAAAAGGGAAGATGAATAAGCACAAGGGGGCATCCTAAGTATTCACAGTGGAGATCATAGGCCAACAAGCATAAAGTCTTGAAGAGGTATGATTCAAATTGAGAAATTGATGGTGTGACAATGGTTGTAAAACAGATTAGTGCACGTACACGAGGGACTTAGAATAAGAGGATTAATATGGTACAGACATGAAAAAAGTGCATCAATATTAACTGCTTTGCTTATATAAATCCTTGAACAAGTTTGAAGGTGGTATATTGGATATCTCTTAAACTGAAGACTGGTAAATGCAAATACCTCATGACTTCTAATTTACTCTTCCAAGTTTCAACTTATCTAAACCATCATCTTAAACCACCTCTTTGCCCAGCAAGAAAATAACATAAAGAAAGATTAAGATGCAATTGGAAATTTCCACTTATTGCAATGAACTCTAATCAACTGGCCCTTAGGACAAAATCGTTAAAAGTGTAGTACATCAATTATCACAGAAGTGAAAACGACAACAGTACAAAAATTACTTAAGCTACCTTGCCATCATACTCTCTTCGAGAAAGAACCTCAGGAGCAATATATGCTGGAGTACCCACAGTCGATTTAGGCCTTGAATGCAGCAATGATGACTACACAAATAAAGCTCATCAGAGTATAGAACTTTGACATCTACCTTGAAACATCTGACAGTATGTTCATTGTAGAATTAAACCTTAGAATAACCGAAATCACAAATTTTCAGGCGTGGAGCCGGGCTGCCATCCAGCAAGGTATTCTCCAGCTTCAAATCTCGGTGGCATATTTGCTGCAGGACCAGACAAGGGACAAATAAGAATCACAGGTAAAGGAAACAATCAACTGGAGATCAGGAACACTCACAACTCATTTTATTTACCAGAGAATGACAGTAGCTAACTCCCGAGATAAGCTGCTGGAAAAAATATCTAGCCTGCAAAATCAACAACAACATAAGCTGACTTCGTTACTTAGAAACTTAACCAATTAGCCAGATCGGAATTCACTCAGAGTGTAGGACTTTGAAATCATAAAGATCGGTATACTAAAAGTATAAGCTATTATTGTCTTCATAATTTCCAACATCTTATCAGTATACAATCATCGCAAGAACGGTGATCAAACCTCATCCTCACTGAACCTTCCAGCATTGCAAATTCGCTCAAAAAGTTCTCCACCTGCAGCGTACTCCATCACGATAGCGAGATGTGTAGGAGTCAAAACTACCTGAAATTCCAAAACATCATATCAGGCCACTGAAACTGATTAAATTTTCTTATCTCATCCTTCACAATGAAGCAGAACATAAAATAACAAAAACACACCTCCTTGAACCGAATGATGTTTGGATGGCGAAGCGACCTGTGGTTTATGATTTCTCTTGCCACATTCTCATCAATCTGCAAGCAAACAATAAAATATCAATTTAATCATAATATACACACACACATACGTACAACCCTGTGAGAACAATAAAAATATGGGTTCTTATGATTTCATACAATGAAATGGAAAGGTTCTAGCTTTCCCAAGTACCAACTCCAGAATTTAATGGTGGGTCTTCCTATATAAGGTTTATTATTTAAAAAAATTCACCATCCATGCAAAAATCCATAAATGAATGAAAAGATGAAAAAAGAAAAGGATGTAGGAATGAAATTAGAATGAAAATAAAATGGAAGGAAAGGTAAGGACCTTGAGACCACGGTCGATGTATTTCATGGCGACGAGCTCTTTGGTTTCTTTGTTCCTCATCAGCCTCGCCACCCCAAAATTCCCAGATCCAATATCCTTCACAAGCTCGTACTTTTCCATTTTCTACGTTTTATTTATTTTATTTTCTAATTTTGCTCTTGAGGTCCTGTATAGAAACTCCGATTGAGCTACACCCCTCGGAAGCTTGAAAGATTTGAGCTTTCAATTCATGGATCTCCAAGCTCAGAGAACACACAAACAGAGCAATTAAATCGAATTGGAAAAACCCAAAAGCCTAGAATCAAGATCAGAGTTCTAAAGAGGGAGGGAGGGAGGGAGGGAGGAAGGGAGAGGGAGAGAGAGAAGGATTGTAAAGGAAGGGGATTATGGGATCCCTTGCTGGATTTGATTTGAGAATTAATTAGGAGTTGGGCTGCATGTGGTGAAGATTGAAAGAAAGATTTTTCTATTTGTAGAGAGAGATTTGATTTGGGGCTTGAACTCAGCTAAGTGAGGGATCCAAGATGAAGAGTTTTCAAGGGAAAGCAAAGAATCAGAAAGTTTTTAAAACAAAACACTGGTGGTGCTTTCTTTTTTCTTTTCTGTTTTTCTTAATTTATAAGAGGACAGAGAATCTTCTTAATTGTAGCTATTTTTCTTTTTCTTTTTTCTCCTTTTTTCTTTTCCCTTAGAAAGGGAAGTTTATGCATCTCTAATAAGACCCAAAAAAAAAGGCTTATGCATGCCTCAGATCCAAAAACAAAAAATATGGTATGTATGCCTAAATGGTACATGAGTGTTGTGGGGAATTATCTCACCGCATTAGTGCCTCTTTCAAAATACGAGGAATAGATGAGGACTTCTTGTCACCTCATCTCTCTATTGGATTTGGAGGCTTGTTCACATCCAAACAAAACCATTAGAAGGAAAACAAAAAAAAATTCTGTTAATTTTTCTTTCTTATTATATACGAGTTATCTGATTACCTAACGAGCTATACCAAATGGTCGTATTCCAGTATCACTTTACAAAGTGATCCTCTTTCATCTTATTAATTTATTTTATTCCCTCTATGGAGCTTCTTATTCGCCACATTAGTTATTTAATGATGCATTCTTATTCAAACCTTGGATTATTATCTTCCCCACATGGTCTAAGAATTTCTAACCTTATGTTTGCTGTTTAGTAAAGTTACGGCAATTGCTAACCAAACAATTCAGAGGGTAAATTTTCAACTACTCTTTTTCTGATATTTTAGATATTCCACATAAATATACTATTAAAAATATAATTAAATGGTCTTATCCGTCTAATGCTAAATATCTCCTTACTAAAGTTCATAAAAAAAATAAAATAATTTTGTTTGGATGGAAATATAATATGCATTGATTGGAATCTTCCATTTCCCATCTTTTAGATGAGAAAGACAATCTTATTCGGAACCAAACGGAGCCTTAAAGCCTGTCCAATTTTACTTAAGGATATTGTTGGATTGTTTGGAATGACATGAACATTAAATTTTAAACCTTTAATTTGGTTTATCAATTTCCTCTTACTCAATTGGTACCACCCTTTACGGATCAAGATTTGGATGAAACTGTAATCAACATTTGCAATGGTGTTTGGAATTTTGATAATTCAAAGTATCAATCTCCCCTTGCAACCTTCTAATGATCATTTTGTTTGGGGGTCTAATCCTTATTATCAATTTCTTTCTGCCTAGATCAATTCAAGTTGTGATTTTTCGGTCTAGACAGAAAGAAATTGGTGATATTCTGATTCACATTTTAAATATTAATAACATAATTGCCACTTGTGCCCTTCTAAGCCCTAAACCCTTGGTAATAATAGTTTCTAATGAAGTTATTACTTGGCTTCCCTGTACTTTTTTCTTCCATACGCAATGACAATTTTTCAACATAAATTACATGGAAGAATTGTTTTATACTTACTATATAAATAAATTAAAGTGTATTTTTTACTTCTAAACCTTAGTTTGGGATACTGAAAGCCATACACATCGTTGCAATGCATTTCCTTTCCCTAAGGGATCGCGTAAATGGTTCTCCCCAAGAGCATCTGACTCACTTTTACTCAGCTTATGGAGAAACCTCTCAATCTGATGCCTTTCTAGTTCGCCAATTCGTTTAGTGTCTCACTAATATGAAGAATTAAATGATGAGATTTAATTCATAATCAATTCATAGTAATTGAGACAATCCACCGCCTCACTAAAAGGAATCTACGGATTGTGCAACGATAAATGTAATTATAGAAACAAATAAAGAAGATAAGACATTGAAAGTCAACAGTCAGAGTCAATGGTCAACAACAAAGTCAACTTAGTTGACCAAAATGGTTTACCAAGTCAAATTATTCGGACTATGCTCAGGACTTAATGGTTAAGTCACAAATCATAATTAAATTGTCAATTATGAATTTAGTTTGACAGTTGGAAACGGTTGGGTTTTAAAGTCAATTTGGACTTTTAAAAGCATTTTGAGCCAAAGGGCAAAATAGGTCAAGGAGCTATTGGGTCTAATAAAAAGTGTTGTATGACAACACATGTTAAATGAGCCCAAGAAACCCCTTGGACGACCATATTGGTGGGGAGATTTCCTCACCTATGTGTTTGCTACATAAGCCATACTTTAAAATCGGTCTTAAGAGGAGAGGGCTAGCACCTAAACTCATCTTAGTCATTTGCTTCACCTACACTACATTTGGTGTGTATGAACTAGATGGTACCTATTTTGGTATCTTTGTGAAGAATCTATGAAGCAAGCAATAAGGAACAAGCAACAAGGAAAAAGACCTTTATAAAGGTGAAAACTTGGAGACCATCCAAGAGAGCTTTAAGGGTAAGAAAGTCTCATAATTTCCTCCCTTTTACTTTAGTGTATAAATGAGGTTAGAGCTAGAAAGATACTTGGGAAAATGGATAGTATTAGGCTCAAGATGATTTAAACTTGGAGACCATCCTAGAGGCAAATTGTTTATCGTAAATATCAAGGACTCACTCTACACCAAGTTGACCTCGTGCATCCATTTCTTGAAATTAAAGATCCAAGATAGATCAGAAATACCATATTCTAGAGAAGAAAAAAAAATGTCATGCTTCACACATAAAAGTTATTATATGCATCACGCTTGAGAGGGCAACAATTGAGATAATATTTTGTTACATCACTAAAGCTAAATAGCAAAAACTATATGCATTTGTGATAGGTAAGAGTGTATGTTGGTTCAAAAGGAAAATGCTAGGTTTACCACATTTTCATACCACAATTGTACCACCTCTCTAATATAGGTGGGCCCCATTGTATTGGTGGGCTCCACCTCTATTAGAGAGGTGGTACAATTGTGGTATGAAAAATGTGGTAAGCCTAGCATTACTCGGTTCAAAACCAATACAATTTAGTCAATTTGCATCCGATCCAACCATGTTAGATGTTTAAATTCAATCCAATCTAATCCGATCATATTGGATTGGATGATCGGTTTTGATCATGGTAATGAAATATTAAACATTTATTCTTAGGTTTAATATAAGCAAACATAGTAATAGACGTAAATGGAAAATATAAATGAAATACTAGAGAAAATTTTTTTTGCTTATATAATAGATTAAACAAAACTCCATTAAATGTCTTAAAAATATTCATAATATTTTCAACTACATATACTTATTAGAGCAAATAAGCATCAAACTAATTAGATTGGATTGGATTGGATTTGATCGGATTCTCATGAGCAAATCCATCATCAGATCCAATCATGTTAGTTTTGAAAATTACGGATTCATGCACTATGTGTAGCCCCACCAGTATTCGAGTTTTGTTGCCAGCAGTCCTCATTAGTGCACGATATGTAATTACCGACATAAATCTATAGCGGTGACATCTGGCAATTGGCAGTTAGGTACCAAGCGTAAGTCCTTCCGACTCGAGGTTGTGGGTCTGCCTTAGTGCTGATGGTGAGAGTAGCCAATCTTCCTCTAAATATAATGATTTCGTACAATATTTTACACTTTATATATTGCATTGTAAATTACATAAGTTAATATTTATTAAGTAATTAGTCCATAAAAATAAATAAAAGACTAAGGATGTTAAATTGAGTGTTGTATCCGAGATCACATGTTTTAAACTTAAGTACTTGAAAATATTTTAAAGATAAATAACATTAGATAATTTTTGATTCGCTTATATTGTGATATATTGACCAAATAAAGCCTCATATTAAATGATAATACATAGATTGCGAAAAATTCGAAAACACATTTATCGTGATTATTTTGAAAATATTTCGGCTGAAAAAACAATATTTTCGGCAATATTTTGTTAAAAATATCGATATTTCATACTATGATTTTTAGCTCTCACACCACCACAAGCTTTCTTGCTAAGCTTCATTGTCATACTCTCTCGTTGCCATCCAAGACTCATCGTGTTCACCATTTAAGGAGTAGTTAGATCATCTTTGAATCACTCTGTAGTCAGTTCGGTTTACTATAAAATTACATATTTTTAGTGTAAAAACTGAACCAAAACATCAGAATTGGTTTGATTTGCCCCTTTTGTCTTGTTATATCTTCCCAATGATTCATAACATAAGCCCAAAATGTCCAGTCCCCAAAGAAAACAGAAAGAAACAGTAAGCCCAACATAAAACCCAACCCATAAGCTAAAATGAATTAAATCATTAAAAGAAAAGCAGCAATCTGCCATTCGCCCCATTTGGTGAGACAAAAAAATAAAAAAAAATGGAGATGCGTTCCGAAGTCGCAACTCTCTCTTTCTGAAGACTTTGAGTAATTGAGTGGCCTCAGCCTCAGCCTCAGCCTCTGCCTCTGCCTCCGAGAGAGAGATCAGAACAGAACAGAACATCACGTCTTCTCACTGACCTTCCAGATCCCACCCTCGCCGGCGATCGCCATGTTCTCCACCGTCCGATCTCTCTCCCCACTCCTCGTCTTTGCTCTCCTTCTCCTATCCCCCGCGTTCGCCTCCGAGGCAGATCACAAGGTAAAACCAGACCCTCCAAATCTCTCTCTTTATGTCTCTTCCATTGTGTTGTCCAGGCCCGGAAATTGGCTCTCTCACTGACCCCTAGTAGATCTCTTTGTTTGTGGTTTTCATCTCTGAATTCCGATTCAGATCTGTGATTTGTACGGATTGTTTTAATATGGGATGCTTCTTTTCCTCTTTCTGTAGCATTGTACTTTCTCCTTTTGCATGTTTGTATGTTTGTAAGATGTATGTGTTATGAACTGAAGGGATGGTTTTTGTTAGGGTTAGATCTTAACTGGGTTTGGTTCATTAGTCATCTTGTTGCTGTTTCTGTCTCATGCGTGCGAACTAGAGCGCTTATAGTGGTGAATTGGGACTTCCAATGGTGAGTTGACTAGAGGGTTGTGTTATTATGATAATGGTTTCAGTGGCCTTAAGGAATCGATGATGGCATTCGTGTAGGTTCAGTTTTATGGATAGACGTACAGTACATTAGCACTCATCAAGTGTTTTTCGTAAGGCAAGGCTAGCTTCTTGTGTTGTGATGTCGTGGTTGACTTCAAATTTGTTTTTTAATGGAGCTGTATCCGATTCTAATGTGACTTTCAGGGTTATGGATATGTAGTGATATTAGAAACCTATATATTGTACTGTTAGCGTTCCAAGATCTGACCTTTGAAAAGCTTGGTGGCTTTTTTTTTATGCTAAATAGATTCAGCCACCCTAAAAGTTTCACTATTAATAGATATTTTAACCCTGTTTATACTTTGGACTCTAAGTCTCACTCCTGAATGATGGCAACACCTTCCCTTTGATGTTCAATGATACAAGTTCAAGATTCAAAGAAAGATTAAGAAGATGTTGAGAGTGCATAGCCTCATGCTGGATGGTAAATTAACCGGCTTAGTAGTACTAAGGTGGAGAGCAACCTGGTTGCCCTTGCATTGTAGATGCAAAGATACCAGGCTGAATTTTTTTTACCCCCTTCACTTGTCAACCATAATTTCACATAGAAGTTCACACTGTTTCCTACAATTCCTTGATGTTTGGTCTCCATTGACCAATACTTTATTAAATAATAAAGTATGTCTAAGAAATTGATCATTGTAATGGCTATTTAAGCTGTGCATGAGCTGCAGTGGATTGACGCATGCTTTGATTTATTTATTTTTCTTTTCCCAAATGTGTACCTTTCAGTTGTAGATTCCCTAATGCTCCCTTGTTTTCTTCTGCAGTATCAAACAGAAGAACCAGTTACTCTTTGGGTGAATAAAGTTGGGCCATATAATAATCCACAAGAAACATACAATTACTACAGTCTTCCTTTCTGTCATCCATCTGAAAATGCTGCTCACAAATGGGGTGGTCTTGGTGAAGTCTTGGGCGGAAATGAACTTATTGATAGCCAGATTGACATAAAGTTTCAAAGTATGTGGACTGGTTGTTATATTTGTATCTTAATTTATGTTGTTGGGTTTTTGATAATTAATTATAATGGACTTATTTGTTTTTTTTTCGGTGCAGAAAATGTGGATAGGGCCACCATTTGTCAACTTGAACTTGATGATCAAAAGGTTAAACAATTCAAGGATGCAATTGAGAATAGTTACTGGTTTGAATTCTTCATGGGTATGTTTGGCATAATATCTTGGACGTGATAAGTGTAGAAAGTCATTATATTTTGGTTTAGATTAAATCAACGGATAGTGTTTCTATAAGAATATGAAATTTCTATTGAAAGCCCAGAATTTACATTCCAAATCATTGATGGTATTCCTTATAACAAAATTGGCAGTCTTATTAATAGCATGCATTCTTACCCGGTTGGGGGGAATGGTTGTGGTGGGGATTTAGGGCAGCAATTTAAAATAGTTACTGGTTCGTTTCTCATTGATATGACTTCATTGTATTTTTTAATATACAATGCTGTGGAAAAGATGAATCAGTCCAGAGGAAAAGTAGATCCTTGAGTCGATATTATGAACATTCTCCTGCATGTGTTTGGATTGCAGTATAACTCATGCAATAATTGTATTTAATTAGATTTTTCTGTAGTAATAGAAGATAATCAAGTATTGTGTGAAAAGGTTTATTTTCTCTCTGTTTTGTGGTCATTTTGTCTGTATTTGGGGCATTCACTGATCCAGTAATTTTTTTTTTAAACATGCTATCTCCCCTGGACGTTGCTGCGCTGGATATAAATTCAGATGATCTGCCTTTATGGAGTATGCATTATACTCATTCCTTCAGATTTTGAGTTTGTGTATATGATATCCTCTTAGTAAATTGATCTTCATATTTTCATGATGTTTTAGGCTTTGTTGGTGAGTTGCATCAGGACAAGAACAGTGAAAATGGCAAGCATGTCCTTTTCACGCATAAGAATATTATTGTTAAATACAATAAAGATCAGGTTTGCGGTCCTCCATATCCGATGTGGATTTTATAGTGGGCTTTGGTGTCTATCATTTTTTTTTATGTAGTTTATAATCTTGTAGATAATTCATGTGAATCTCACTCAAGATAGTCCAAGGCCGCTGGAAGCAGGGAAAAAGTTGGACCTGACATACTCTATCAAATGGATTCCAACCACTGTCACCTTTGCACGTCGTTTTGATGTCTATTTGGACTACCCTTTCTTTGAGCACCAAGTAAGAACTGATTATGTGTTTATTTGTTTACCTATCATTCTTTGTGATGTCAAATATCGGTTAGCCTAATTTCAGTAGAATTATGTGTGCAAGGAAATGCAATTAGTTCTATTTTTTGGGTGCTCTCTTAATGAGTTGTATATGCATCGTGCTATATGCAGATACATTGGTTCTCGATTTTCAATTCGTTCATGATGGTTATATTCCTTACTGGTTTGGTGTCAATGATATTGATGCGGACTCTTAGGAATGACTATGCAAAATATGCTCGGGAAGACGATGATCTGGAGACTCTGGTATGGTGTTTTGACTTTTGTGTATATTCATTTCATTCTTTTGGATGATTTGTCAGTTTTTTCTTATTTTGCATAAATAGAAATATAATAGATACTAACTATCCTTATGTGGTGACTCTTTTTACAATGTCTTTAATAGGAAAGGGATGTCAGTGAAGAATCTGGCTGGAAACTTGTGCATGGGGATGTTTTTCGGCCTCCTCGGAGTTTGGTTATTCTTTCAGCTGTTGTTGGCACAGGAGCTCAGCTAGCTTTGCTTGTTCTCCTCGTCATCTTACTGGCAATTGTTGGAATGTTGTATGTTGGGTATGTTGACAGCTTGCTCAAAAATACTTGGGGTGCTATTTATTGCTTTCTGCCTTCATTGTTTTGTGTTATGATTTTATGATTTTTTATGTTTTAATCATGAAATTCAAGCTGTGCATATGTTTATGCTTCTGTAATTAGTGTTAGTCCAACCATGCATTGTCACACATTAATAGTTCTTGTCTTATCATCCCATTTTTTGTCATGTTAATTAGTTCATTACTATTTGTGGTCATGGGAGGAATTGATAGATTTCATAGTATGCTGTCTTACATCATTTTTTTATCTGGTTGCTCAGGAGAGGTGCAATTGTTACAACTTTCATAGTGTGTTATGCCCTTACCTCATTCATTTCTGGTTATGTAAGTGGTGGGATGTATTCAAGGAATGGGGGTACGTATTTCTTTAAAAGAATATGACTGATAAGCTAGTAATTCTGTTTAAGCTTTATAACAAATCATTCATTTTTGAGCTTATGCATAGGCACACATTTCTGAACTATTACTTATTTTTCTTGTCAGGTAAAAACTGGATAAAGTCAATGATTCTCACAGCATCACTATTTCCATTTATGTGCTTTGGAATTGGGTTCGTCTTGAACACCATTGCTATATTCTATGGGTCTCTAGCAGCTATTCCTTTTGGCACAATGGTGGTTGTTTTTGTCATTTGGGCTTTCATCTCTTTTCCTCTAGCACTTCTTGGTACAGTTGTTGGAAGAAACTGGAGTGGTGCTCCTAATAATCCCTGTCGTGTGAAAACCATTCCTCGTCCTATTCCTGAGAAGAAATGGTATTTAACCCCATCTGTTGTCTCAATGATGGGAGGACTTCTGCCCTTTGGAAGCATATTTATCGAAATGTATTTTGTCTTCACATCCTTCTGGAATTACAAGGTGAAATTTCAATAACTGTGTACTGTTAAAATTAATATAATAGACTCGCTGATAGAATAGATCTGGGCAAAAAATTAATGATTATGATATGGCAGTGCCAATCTGTAGAGCAAAGTTACAAAAGTTGGAGGAGTCATTATGGCACCCATCTTTTAAAATTGCATAAGTCATGGAAATTATGAAAATGAATGTAAGGATGTGGACATGGGTTTTGATAGCTGAATTATATATCTTGAAAGCAATGATTCCTGATGTGTCTTGGGAATCATTTGTTTACCAAACACCAGGTGAAGTTCTGTAATAGCATATCTGAGAGGATTCTATATCGTTTAGAAAGCTTTTAGTCTATTGTGGTAAAAGTGGCTGATACTTTGTTACACATTATGAGCATGAATAATAACGGTTTTCTTGATTTTTGCGGCTTAACAGGTGTACTATGTCTATGGCTTTATGCTTCTTGTTTTTCTGATTCTCATCATTGTGACTGTATGCGTGACGATTGTGGGGACATACTTCTTGCTGAATGCTGAGAACTACCACTGGCAATGGACTTCATTCTTTTCTGCTGCATCAACAGCCGTCTACGTGTACTTGTATTCAATATATTACTACCATGCGAAGACTAAGATGTCAGGTTTCTTCCAGACCAGCTTCTATTTTGGGTACACTTTGATGTTTTGCCTCGGCTTAGGAATTCTCTGTGGTGAGTTTTCTCTTTTACTTTAACTTCTGGTATAATGTAAAATCCCTGTTGATTTTTATTTCCACTTCAAGGATATGGGTACTCACTTTGTGACCGAAGTATATAAATGGTGCAGCTTTTTATATTTCTGCAGTTACTTTTTGACATGTTATTTTTTTGGGCTTTGTTTGGATTTTTCTGTTTTCCTTTTTCTTGGTGCATATCTGAAAGGTTTACTGTAACTTGATGAACCTGCACTATGACAAGTTACTAAGAAGAAATTCAAGTGCCATGTTCTCCCACGTGATGATAAATATAAAAAAGATATTAGTAAAAAAAATGTTTTCACTTGTGTTTCATTTCTCTCCTTTTGAATGTGTAGGAGCTGTTGGATATCTGGGCTCTAATTTGTTTGTGAGGAGGATCTACAGAAACATCAAGTGCGACTAGTGTTTCTCAGAGAGGAAATGGTCCTGATGGAGCTTCCGTGAATACATTGGTCGTTGTTGAGGCGATAGATTCTGTTTGGAAGCTACATATGGTCAGGGATGGGGATCCAGTAACCTCTACAGATTAAAATCACAGGGTTTGAGGATAGGGATGTATTCTTTCTCTGGACTTGGGAAAGCCCTGAGATTTTTTTTGTTTTCCCCGGCTGTAAGTGAAAGCCTTAATTTTAGATTGCAGAGATTGTTTTATAATCTAAGAAAGTTAGCAGATGTTGAACTCTCCTGTTACTTTATTATTTTCTTTTTCGACCTTTTACAAATAGGTGCCCCATTACTCTTTCAATCTGTACGGCTTTGGGATGGATGAAAAGAGGGGAAAGACTTTCTGAAATGAACTTTTGCTTCTCGGTTATGTAACGACTTGTGAATTTTGATTCCATCTGTACCCTGCATATATAAGTATCAATATCTCAAACCACACATTGTGAGGTGATAATTTTGTGTTTGTTCATTTTCTTTTCTAAAATTCTTAATTCTTGGTGCCTGTAAGTCTCTGTCATGGTCAAATCTCTTACATGCTGATTTATTTCATATATTTTTTTATCTTCTGGATATGAATCACAAATTGAGGTTAATCTTAAGATGAGGCCGGTAATTTCATGTGCCCATAATCTCTAGCCATCTCCAGAAACCAAAAGAATTTCTTAACCTCTGGTATTATAGTTATCTTACAACCAGTAATATTGACCGCTAACCACCATTAAACCCTCAGGATAATCTCCACCTCTATTTTTTTCATTATTTATTTATTTTGGGTATTTTGTTTCTTTGGCCTACTAGTTGAAATAAGGAGAGGAGAGTGAAAGAAGACCAAAAACCTGGTTAAGGGGATTGTGCCCACCACACGTTCGCTCACCAGTAACCACTGAACTGTTGAAACTCTCCAGAAATGGTCCTCCTGTGGTGATAATGAAAAGATAGAGCTAGCCACAAGATGCTGCCACGTGGCAGATAAGGGTTTATGCCACTTCATCCTTCTCTCATTCGTGGCCACACTGTGTCCACAAACGATTATCTACACTACTATAAGCCTTTCCCACTTTCTTCAGCTTCAAAGCACAAACCAACTTCTCAACCTTTCAAGTGGTAGCTAGCTAGCTTAGCTAAACCAGTAACCAAACATGGCAGCTCTCTCTGGCACCATGGTGAGCACCTCCTTCATCCGCGGCCAGCCGATGACCAGCCTACGGTTAGCCCCCAACATGGGCCAGGCTCTTTTCGGGTTGAAGGCCAACCGTGGAGGGCGTGTGACAATGGCTGCTTTCAAGGTGAAGCTGCTGACACCAGAAGGGCCCCTAGAGTTTGAGTGCCCGGATGATGTTTACATTCTTGACGCCGCGGAGGAGGCCGGTATCGACCTACCGTACTCTTGCAGGGCTGGTTCTTGCTCTTCATGTGCTGGCAAAGTTGTGGAAGGGGGTGTGGACCAGTCAGATCAGAGCTTCCTTGATGATGAACAGATTGATGGTGGATTTGTCCTTACTTGTGTGGCTTATCCTTCATCTGATGTTGTGCTTGAGACCCACAAGGAAGAGGAGCTCACTGGTTAAGTGTGATCTCTATGTTTCACTGTGGTTGTTGCTCTCCCCCCCTTGAATTTTCTGTATTATCATGTTTTGATAGCTGCTGGTTGGCTTAGTTTATTTCAGGATAAGGTTTGCCCCTGTTTCTAATTAAATGAGTTTGTACTCTCCTTTGTAGTATGAAATCATTCTTGCTTGTAAACCCTTATATGAATTCTCTCTCTCTCTCTCTCTCTCTCTCATATGTCTTACAAGCCAGACTTAACTGATAATGGAAATCAAGCTTAACAAGATATACATCAAGTGACATTGTAGCATACAACTGCACAGAATCACGTTTAGACCTCTCCTTCACTCTCTTGCACCAACTATGGAGTGAATGAATCTCTGACACTCTGGGCAAGCAAACCTTTCTTACACCAGGATCCCATCTGTCGTCATCAGATACCAAGAACGAACATCAAAATTATTCGTTCGTGCAATTCGAACGACTTTCAATCTTCTGTGACATCCCTAGGGAACTACGTTACTATAAAAAAACATATTTTAAGATGCATATTTGCTGGTCCAACAAATCTCGAGATTATTGTGTCGAGCTAGAGGGCCAATCGGATAACTATTATTAAGTGGTTTTTCATGAAGCATGTGATCTCTCCTTTAACTCCCCAATACACACATAGAAAGAGCAAAACTCAATACAATTCCCATGATTGAGAGAAGAGGCAACCTCACAACTGAGGAAAAAAATTCAATGACTGCAAAGAAAATTTTAGTCACGCACCGTATGACAATTTCTTTGTATCACTCAGCTACTTAGGATTTTTAGTACTTGTGCAAACAAGGTTAAAATCACGTAAAATACTTGCAAGAATACAAGGCTATTGAATTATAGATGCTCATGTAAGGTCGTTCTCCTCAAGGATTATTTAGCAATTTATGTAAAAACAATTTCTAATCAACCACCTAAATTTAAAAGTCGAGAAAGATGTTTATGAAATTGGTTGACGCTAAAAACAAATACGATTGAAGGAAAGAGTTTTAAAAATCAATTTATAAAAGCACTAGGGTTTCACCATCACCTAGCAATCCTATGAATTTTTACCAATTACTTATGATTTGCACATGTCACTTTGAATGTTAGGTTTTCCTAATTTATATTCTACTTGAAACCTCCAACATAAAATGTATATCCAACATGCAACCCGTCTGGACGTTCGGATTAAATCTGAACATGAAAGACTCATTAAGTTTTGTGAAAACCCTTTGAAAAACCATGCAACCCTTAAGACGTGATGTTCATCTTAAGTGAAATTACAATTATTAATCACAAGAAGCTAGCATCAATTTCAGGGAACCTTCTGACCAAAATTGCATCAAATTACTTTTCTAAATATCCTAATGGTGATCAGGCATTAAGACATGTAGATAGTTTAAAACAGTTATTAACAATTCAAAGTATGCATGCTCTCAATCATAAGCAATTAAATAGAAATCACATATTCATGCTAAGGTTCAAGGCTTCACCCTAGCAAAAGAAAATTAGTTACGCATATTCATAATTGAAATTCAAGAAAATATCATTAAGAAGAAAAGAATGAAAACGCCTTAAAGTTGCGAAAATCTAAAACCCTAGCAATTGCCCCAAAAGCAAAAAAAAGAAGTCCAAAGGAAGTCCCCAAATTTCTGTGAAAAGGAGCTTAAATATCTCCTGAAACCTAGCTGCCCAATCCCCACAATGAAACTAAGTTAAAATAAAATAATACTATGAAATAAAATCCAAATTGGATTAGGAGAATCTGCTCAAAATCTGCCCAGCCACGTTTTGGCCTCAAATCTTCTCCAAATCTGGCCCAAGATAGCTTGTTTTAAAGATAAAAATATTATGAACACTTCTCCAGAAGGTCACGAACCCATCCGAGGTCATCTTGGGCTCCAAAAACGCAATAAAAGCCCAAAACGTCACTACTCCAGCACCGTGCACTGCTCCTTTATTTTATCGCCAGAAAATAACCGCTTAGTAGAAAAATCTGAAATTCTGACACGATCAAGCTAAGTGACTCACGAACGTCCTTCAACTGGAATTACTCCAAAATTCGTCCATTTGATTATGTTTTGCTCTAGAGGAAGTGGAAAGCCCTATATTGGAAATATAATTCAAAGTATCAAAGTTTTTTCAAAATATTAACCAAAATATACTAAGAATAGGGTTAAATATATAATATAAAATCGACTCATCAGCTACCAATTTCCGTTTACTATTAAACACAAATCTTTTATCTTTAATATTTTTTTTACTATTGGCAATATGAATGATCTTCATAACATGTTTATTTTATTCCAATTTTATTCCCAAAAAATTATGCGGCTTTCATGCTAAAATTCGTAACAGTTATGCTAGAGCCACCAACTCTTTTTCCAACTTTGGATACCAACTAATGTGGCAAGTGACATAACAACCCGTGTCATGTGGCACATCATTCTTTTTTTATTATATATATTTGTTTTTAACAATGGATTATAATTGAACTTTTATTTATTTATTTATAAACTATTTTAATTCATTTAACTTTAATATGTTTTTGTCTTCCTTACCCCACCGTGGCTCATCCTTAAACCCAGTCACCACCACCAGAGCCGTCCATTGCTGCCCAATATCATGGCCATCGCATTCCTCTGGCAGTCATCAACAACATAGTAGCCCTATCTTTTTCATAAAGGAGTAGGTGCGATGTTCTTTAGAAAACTCAAGATTTTTTCTTTCTATGTTTTTTTTTCTAAATAACTCATGAATCAACCATAACTACAATTGTCTTTGTATCCCTTGGTCTGTACAATTCCTCTCTGATTGACAAAAGAGAAATACCACAAACCAAATAAATATAGTGTAGTTTATATGATTTAATGTGCATTTTTATTTATAGAAAGACCATAGAAAATGAAAGTACAAAATAAAAATGTTTATTAGATTTTAAGTTAATAACTTCCGCTAGCCCATTTGTTGAAAAATTTCTCGTTCCATCCCTGTGTTTGTATATGTTAACAAATGTGGTCCTTTCCGTCAAAATTCTGTTAAATTTTTGTTAAAAAAATACATTTAAAATTATTTAAAAAAAGTTTGGGCATCTGGGTTGGGCTTACTGTTTCTTTCACTCAAAGCATGCAAGTAAAACGATGCGTATTGTAATTAGGGCACCTTCCGTCATCTTCTTCACGTGTTAGCCGCGTCTTCTTCACAGAGCAACTGCAACTGGAGATTCGCAATAGCTGCAAGCGCAAGTAAGTTATTTTCTTCTTCCTTCTTCTTCTTTCTTCTCCACCGCCGAAACCAGTAAAAACTAGCCTCTGTCGAATCCAGAAGAAGAGGCTAAGTATATTGCGAAATAACCCCCCACCATATCCTTGACCGTATCGCTCGTGTGTCCATGGCGTATCGAAGACGTATCGGATGGTCAACATAACAGAAAAGTCCACGATACGTCGTTTTCCGTATACGTATCGGAGGAGTATCCGATACGAGCATACCCCTCGCCGGCGTATCGGTGCAACATAGCTTGTAACAGTTCGACAATTGGTTCAATTATTCCTGAACCGGCAATTATCCAAAACCGAACCGATACTAGCAGCCGAGTCATTAACGGACTCGAAAATACCGTAGGGTGCTAAATCCTCTTTGATTTGTCTCCTCCATCGCGTCGTTTCTTCTTCCTCCTCCGTCCTCACTCGACTCACATTCACATTCACATTCACCATCTCTTTCTCTCTTCCTCGCTGTCTGTTTCCCTTTGAGATTGGTCTTCCTCACCGTCGCTTTCCCTCCCTCTGCGGTTGGGGTTTTAGGTTATAATACGGCTACAATTTTTTCTCTCTGATAATAGAATTTATAAGTCTTAGGTTATCTGTAAAAGCAGAGCTTAATCACAATGAAGGTGAATGTAATATCTCGGTCCACAGATGAATACACTAAAGAACGAAGCCAAGACCTCCAGGTGCGTTTTCACTTCTCTCTTACTCTCAACTCAAATTTCTTCGTTTTTTTTCTCTATATAAATACGATTTCTGGTTCAATCTCCGTAGAGGGTATTCCGTAATTTCGACCCCAGCATCCGAACGCAAGAGAAAGCAGTGGAATATGTCCGGGCATGTAATGCCGCAAAATTGGAGAAGGCATGTTTTGGGATTTGGATTGTATTTTTTTTTTCTGAATTTTTGATTGCATTAAATATTTGGGCATATGGATGCTAAATTTGATTGAGTTATGTTTGTTTTTGCTGTTGTTGGTAATTTAGATTTTTGCGAGGCCATTTGTTGGAGCAATGGATGGACATATAGATTCAATTTCCTGTATGGCAAAGAATCCAAACCATTTGACCAGAATATTTTCTGGTTCAATGGATGGAGGTACTTTGTTCTCTCTTAAAATTTCTAATGTCTTTTCTCTCTAGTTGGTATCCTATACTGCTTCTAAATCTAAGAAAAGCAAGTACCAAGAATTCATCTTAAGAAAAAGAACTGTGGCGATTTCTAATTAATACTTTTAGATTATAGAACTTTTAATATACTACTTTATTAAGCTATCGAGTTTGAATTTGTTTTAATTTCTCAACCCATTATAGTGTTTGATATTTCTTTTCTTTGGCAGATATTCGGCTCTGGGATATAGCTTCCAGGTAACCACACACTGCTGAATCGAGTTGCTTAATTTCATACAGATGGGTTAGAATCTCAGTATTAGGCACCCTTCTGTAGAGAATCCACGTATGCTTTTCTCATGTGGAGTGTTATATGATTTAATTGAGATTCGGACCACTGTCCCTGGATTTGTTTTTTAATCTATAGTTCAAATCCTTTAATAGTCATTTCAATACTTCATGCATAAGGCATTGAAATTTATTCATTGGACCCAAAAAAGGCGAACAGTTTGTCAATTTCCTGGTCACCAAGGTGCTGTGCAAGGTTTAGCAGTATCTACAGATGGGCGTGTTCTTGTTTCTTGTGGAACTGACAGCACGTAAGGCATAACCTCCTGGGTTACTCCTGTCTCTATACATTTAATTGTATCTATCCGGTTATGAAGATTGTTCATGTTGAAATCACTATCTTCCATTTTCAGTGTCAGGCTTTGGGGTGTACCTGTTTCTACTCTTCTGGAGGAAGATGTCTCATCTGATAAATCTGCTGTGGTATTGCCTTCCTAATAGTGTGATATGTTGCTCCAATGAATGATTTTTCTATATTATATGTACCTAACTAATTATAAATTATATTTGCAGCCACTGGAAACTTATGTTTGGAAGAATGCATTTCGGTAAGTTTCTTATTGATTTCTCGGAGGAGATGTTACTTAATTAGTTAGTTTTACAAATTAATTGTCATGTGCTATGATTTTTATGGGTTTTACTATTAAGGTTTACTTTCTCATTTTCAGGGCTGTTGATCACCAGTGGAATTTTGATCGTTTTGCTACAGGTGGAGCTGGAGTAGATATATGGAACCACAACAGGTTTTGATCTGGCCTGGTCATTCTTCTATTAAGTTGAAAAAAAAACTGTTTATCCCTCTTACCATGACAATATACTTTGTGATGCATAGGTCTGCACCAGAGCAGAGTTTTGAATGGGGAACAGACACAGTTGTATCTATAAAATTTAATCCTGGACAGCCAGATATCTTGGCAACATCCGCAAGGTCTGCATTATTGCTTGTAGATAAGATACTCATCTAGTTCTAAAAACTTGTATGTTAAGCACATTAGATACCATGTGCTTGTTTATAATGGTTTTTGGTTTGAATACATTGGTTTCTAATTTGAGTTTTGAGTTATATTTGTTTTGCTTAATAAGGAATGGTACTGATAAAAGACTTTGTATTTAGCATCTTGGAAAACAAATGGTTTCTTGTAAAAGAAGGTTCAGCTGCAAAGGGCAGCTTGTCTGCTGGTCAGCATCCATTTTTTCTTATGAAAACATCTTCCTCTTCCCCCTTGTACTCTCTTCCACATTGTAGTAAACATTACCAAATATCTGAATCTCTCTTTGAAAATTGTTGTGAACATATGGTAAAGTGCCAAACTGACAATTAGTTTATCCATTTGAGGAAGTTGGTGGTTCTATTGTTACAGTGGCATGATTGTTTTCAATCCATGCTTTCTGTAATGATTTTATTTTATCTTTCCTTGTTTGTTTGCTTTCATTTCTAAAATTAAGTTATGATATTATTGTATTTAGGAGAGAATAATATATGATTTTTTTTTGGCAGTGATCGCAGCATAGCAATATATGACTTGCGCATGGGGAAACCAGCAGCGAAGTTTATTATGAGGGTATTTATGCCAAATCACCACTTTCTGATTCAGTCCTCTATTTTACTGTTGTTAATGTTAACTTAAGGATTCTTAGCAACATTCGTGCTGTCTCTTAAATTTTTGCATGTATTGGCCTTTCTGACTTACATTTTCTTTGGACAGACAAGAACCAATTCCATTTCTTGGAATCCAATGGAGCCAATCAACTTCACTGCTGTAAGCATGTAACCTAAAGTTACTTAAGGATTTGGATTTGTCATAGTTTTGTAATTCTGATATTTGCATTACGTAAGGCATTTGCTTCAGATTATCTCAGTGCATCCTTTTCATGGTTTTAGGATTTTTGATCATTACATATGTTTCTGAGTTGAGTTTGGAATGGAACTTTAGATCTGTCTACCGACTGTAATTTGGTAATATCATTTGGAGCAACTTCCTCTGTGCAAAAACCTTCTAACCATATGTAAAATATTGGAATATCATGGTTACACTTATTATTGATTTTTAGGAAACATCCTGATGAGGACATCTTTGTCAAACCCTTTAGGGTTTACAAACGAAAAAGATGGAAGAGGAAATTATTTAATTTGGTCTTCAAATCCTGCAATTTTGGAGCAATACATGATTTATGCGTTTTTAACTTGATTTCTAAGCTTTCTATACTTTCAGCATTTCTTGTTTGACTAGGATTTGGTTTACTTATTTTATTAGATTTAGATTTAATTACCTTTTCTTTTGGTTTAGGATTTCTTTCCTAGAATAAGTTTAATTTCCTTTCCAGAGATTGGAGACTCCTTGGTGTGAAGCCAAGTCATCTTTACCATCTACTTTCTGTTTTGTCATTGTTTTCTCTTCCGCTAAATTACCCAAACACTCAATTCACCCATATCCTACATCACATCCCTATGATGTCATAAACCGTGTAATCTAATGACTTCCAATAGTACACCAATGCTAGAATACGTGGACTTTCTTCCTTGTGTAGCATTTTCTCATCCTATTCCATGAAAGTGCTAATCTAATTCCTCAATGACAGGCAAATGAGGACTCCAATTGCTATAGCTTTGATTCTAGAAAGCTTAATGAAGCTAAGTGTGTGCACAAGGATCATGTATCTGCTGTGTGAGTTGATAATTTTTCAATTGAAATATTTGGTCTTTTTCTCCACTTCTGAAATCCATTTTTCCTGTTGTATATTTAATATGAAAGTTTTATACGCCAAACTTCTTTTTTCCATTTCCAGGATGGATATTGATTTTTCTCCAACTGGTCGAGAATTTGTCACTGGATCTTATGACAGAACAGTGAGTTCATTTCTAATATGATTTTGACAATGTTGTCAATGTGTAAATATGGCTGCAGTTCTTTATCAAAAATTTGCCATTTGCAGGTGAGAATTTTCCAGTATAATGGTGGTCACAGCCGGGAAATTTATCATACAAAGAGAATGCAAAGGTTTGGTCTTCATGCATTCCTCTTATTTGGGTTCTCGGATTTGTTGATCATATGTAATTAGCTTTTATATGCCAATCACTTCGTGCTCCATTTCTTGAACTATGCGGCCATTGGATTCCAGAGTGTAATGTTTCACATAACGAAATGGAAACATTAGCTTTTTGTTGACCTATTTCATTATTCTGACTCTTTTGTTTCTCCCTCTTCCTGCTTTTTATGTAGGGTGTTTTGTGTCAAGTTCAGCTGTGATGCTAGTTATGTTATTTCTGGGAGTGATGACACTAATCTTAGGCTTTGGAAGGCTAAAGCATCAGAACAATTGGGAGTTGTAAGATATCTCCTCCTTTCCTCATGTTTCTGTTGTTGACCTTGGGTTGCAATATGGCTTTCTTCTTCTTCCATTACCTATTTGCTGAATTCACTCATTTACTTCTTGTATATTACATTGCAAATGTTGAACTGCTTCTTTGTGTGTAGTATTTTTTAAGGGTTTTTTTTTGGATGGATGAAATAAATACATAAATGGTTTGACCATAGAATTTATTGGTACCATGCACACTATAACCAATGTAGGCTTGAAACACACAGACTAGTAACTGCGAGTTGAATGGTTTCTATTGACTTTTTCAATATCTATACGTTTTTGACATCCCTTCTTTTAGACATCCTAATATAAACTTTTAACTACTTGTTACCTGCAGCTTCTTCCAAGGGAACAGAAAAAGCATGAGTATAATGAGGCTGTCAAGAATCGCTACAAGCACCTTCCGGAAGTCAAGCGTATTGTGAGGTATGATAAAAGGATTCCAGCAATTAGGCTCTTAAATTTGGTCTTTTGTTTTGGAAAAAAGCAAGTAATTATTGTCAATATATTTCCTATTGAGATATTACAAGATCCATCATCTATGCATGTTTCCTATGAAAGATTCTGGGAGTATTTGATGATTTTGTGGGCAGATGTAATAAGCATAGAAAGATGCCCTTTTGATAAACATCCATGTATAAAACCACCATTGTCCATTTGTTTTAAGTAGCAAATTTTTAATGTATTTAGGACTCCTTCCCAGATTAATCTCTATAATATATGAGCTGGTTGCAACTTGTTATAATTTTAGGTCGGGCTTGCAGATTAGCAGTTCCTATATCTTAACATGTGAACCTGATTCATTGGATGTTCCTAAACTAAGCATTACCTTACGTATTTAAGTGATAGCATGCAGTTTCTGCAGAACCCTACAAAGATTGTATGGCCAACTTCAGAGTATCTTCAAAAAATAATGAATTGTTTTTTTCTTTTGGGTGGAAACAAATAATGAGTAGCATATGACATACAAAATGGTTAATCGTTGTGAATGGTGATTCTGCAGGCATAGGCACCTACCAAAACCAGTATACAAGGCAGCTGCAACATTGCGTGAGATGACTGAATCTCGGAGAAAGAAACACGAGAAGAGGAAGGCGCATAGCGCCCCTGGAAGCATCATTGAGGAGCCATTACGGAAAAGAAAAATCATCAAAGTTGAGTGATAAATGTGGGTAGTTTGTAGTCGGCTCCTGCATATCCATGTTAGAATGGATCTTTCATATGCAATGTTCGTGAGCTGCATACCAGCGCCTTTACAGTTCAAGTGATTTCCCAATCACCTATCCTCATCGTGCACGTGCCGTATCTATGGTGGCTTTGAGGGACTATGTTTTGTTCATTCTATAGTAACTTTAGGTTTCAAATTCAAGAGGGATTTGTCTCTCTCTTGTTTAGCCTTGTGCAATTTTGTCGGGAAAAATATGTAACTGAATATTGAAAGGTATATTGAGGGGACTAATCTTTTTCAGCCTGTAGACTAAATCACGCTTAAATCTCTTGTAATATACTGCCTTACCCAAAAGTAATACATGGAATTGGGAGTCGGTCACAGACAAAATACCCTTCTTGACCTGTTTTTGTTTGCGGAAAGGAATTGATGAGAAATTAACCTTCATGCCTTTTCTTAGGGATTAAGAACACAGTATAACAAATTATAGGGAGCAAGAATTCGTACCCCTTTTACCAGATTAATTCCAAACAAGAACAGTTGTAAAATCTGAAACTTTGATAGAAAAATAGGAAAACTGGCACCTCAATCCCAACGGATATTACACAATTAATTTGAAATTTAAAACAACTAACGATCAAGTAGTAAAAGAAAAATAAAAAAATTTGCTATAAATTCCACAATATGCTCTATGCGTCAAACATAACCCGCCAAATTGTAAAAGAAAAGTAACTAGTATGGTCATCATGCACAAATAACTAGCTTAATCATAATGAGAGACATTTTAGGACGAAATTTTTTATGTCTGAGTCATCAACTGCCTAAGAACATTTGCTTAATTGGATTCCACTCAGAAAAAATGGTAAATGCTTTTGAGGCAACTTTCCCTTTGATGGGTTCGACGAAGTAAATTTTTCCTTGTAGAAAAGTTGAAGTTTTTTAGGCATTTGCTTAACCATTTGTCTTATCTTTAGAGTGATAAATTTTTAAGAGCATGGTTTGGTTTCTTAAAATTGAGAAGGAGCTCATCCTCTCAACAAAAGAAAAAATAGTTCAAGGAATTCAAAAGAAAATCAAGTTCAAGAAATTTGACAAGTGTCAAAACTCTATTTATTGTGAGAAGGAACTCCTCCTCAATTTTAAGGAACCAAACCTTTTCCAATTTGTAATAAGGTAAATATTGAAAGCAATGTTGAGCATGAAATGAGATTTAGTAATAACTCAAAATTCCCATTTTTCTTTTGTTAGGACAAGATTCCACATTGGAAAATTAGCATATCATAGAGTGGTTTAAGAGTTCATGGGCACCTATTCTTATAACCCAGTTTTTATTAGCAAGTTCTACCCATGAGTTCCTTAACATTCGGTATCATATCCTGGTTTCACCACGCAAATGGACTCAATTCCACGAAGGGGGCAACCTATAAGCTAGATTAAGATGATACACGGAAGAGACAATTTATAGACTCGATTAAAATGATGTCGAGTTATTGAATATTGGTAGTTGAGTCAATAAGGAAGTTGAGTACGGAAGCGTGGTGGAATGTTAGGACTCAAGATCACACATTGGAAAAATAGTATATTATAGAGTGGTTTAAGAGCGCCAAATTCTACCTATTTATTCTTAACATTTTTTTTTTGACGTTACTCAAATTTCTTCTTAAATTGATCATTGAGGTACATTTTTTTCTTCTTAATGCAAGAAGAGCTTTGACTTGATCAGTCAGGACTGGTAAGGTAAGTAGGGCCTACAGAATATTCACCCAATCCATTGTCTAATCAATAATATTGTGAGTGACAGCTTTAAAGCATTATATTATTATATCATAATTATCATGATGGAATGGAACAAAAAGAAAAAAGCACGATCTTGATCACCATGAAATTTTTAGTGTTGAGTTTAATCCAATCAATTAGCAACTTTTACCATATAGGTTAGCACATTTACTTATCATGAATGTGTTCTAATTTCTGTTTACGTATTTATTATCTCATATTAAAATATTTCGTTTTAATTTTTATTTATTTATTTTAATACAAACGATAATCTAAGCTTTAACCTCGCCAACAACCGAACAAATGCAGATAATCTAAAAATAATGAAACTCCACGTCATCGCACACACTGCCTGACAATACAAAATCACACATGGATTCAATTTAACACTAAGGGGGGTGTATTCAATTGAGATTTTAAAAGACTATTTATAGATAAATAAGTCCAGTGGATTTTAAAAGACTATTTAAGAATATAATGACTTATAAGATTTTTTTAAAAGATTTTTTATACTCAGGATTTTTTATGTTTGGATTTTAAAGATTTATATCATAAGAATTTATAAGATTTGAAAGAACCACATGGATTTTTTATTTGTACGATGCTAACCAACCAACTTAGTTGGATGATGAGCAATGCCTAGTTCAATGGTGCACAAGAATTCTTTAGAAACAGCCTCTACAACCCAAGCTTTCCAAATAATGGTGGAATTTATCCTTTCCAAAGGTTTTATGATAGGTATAAGGTTACTAGGCGGCAGACACTTGATTCAGACAATGGAATGGAGCCATAAATAAAAAACCAATGAAAGTCAATTGCTTAAAGTTGTGGGCACTTGCATCAGCAATAACATAAATGGGATCAAATGGAATGGAACAATAAATAAAAGCAAACATTCAAAGTTCCAAGAGTCAATGAAAAAGATAACAAAGAAACACAATTTTAACAAAGAAAAGTAAAATTCAATAAAGTTTTCCCAATCTTTTAATAGCCAATTTGATGTAGCTTCATGTCCTCCTAAGTAGCATTTCTCCACATATCTAAAGCAATGGTAGCCCTCCATGTATTAGCATTTTCTCGTTGCTGCTCTTGAGTTTGAACAATAGGTTCCAAATTCTCTTCTTCCAAATTTTCTCGTTGTTGCTCTTTGGCATAGTTGCTAATAGTAGGAGAGGGATATGATGTGAAGGCTAGGATGATTGGAATTGTCTCTGCCAATTCTTGTTTATATGCACGTCACAATTAAACCCACAAAGCTATATATATATATATATAAGACGCATATTGTAATCTCGCTAGGATGATTGTGAAGGCTAGGATGATTGTAATCTCGCTATTATTGTTGAAGCCTGTACAACTACAAATCATGAAAATAGTAATGGTTATATCCCGCTATTGTTGAACCCTGTACAACTAACAAATCACCAAAGCCAATATGAGCAACAACAACTAACCCATCCAAACCATAAGACGCAGACCATAAACAACAATTGTTTGATTCTCCCATACACCCCCCGTATATAATACATGATAGCAACATGGCATATAGCAAATATACATACAATAAAAGCAAGAAGACACAACATGAGAATGAAGTAATACCTTGTTCACGAAGAACTGTTCAACTTCACGAAGAGTTGTTCAACTTCTCTAGCAAAAAAAAAATCTCACGTGAAAAGTCTGATGGGTTAGGGTGGGATTTTTTATAGGGTTTGGTATTTATACATCCCACTAAAAAGTCACACAAATTCCTAATTAAAAAAAAACCATCGAAATTAGCAAGTTTTTGAATACTAAAAGACTTTTTGTTACTTATTTAAAGTCATGATTGAATACCACTAGATTTGGACACCCTCTTTAAAATATCATAATAGTCCTGATTGAATACTACAAGACTTATTTATATTACTTAAAAGTCTTAATTAAATACCACAAGACTTATTTATCCCAAAATAGTCTTTTAAAATCCTAATTGAATACACTCCCCTAAAACCCGTTTTCACATTTCATCTTCTTCTGCAACATTTTCTGTCTTTTGGGTCTCTTTGAGAATCAGCCATGGCATTGCAGAGGCAGCTCTTGAAGAAAGCTCTAGGGGAAGCCAAGACCAAGATTGGTGGCTCCCGTTTTTGTCACAGGCCATCTCTCTGCTGTTCTTTCTCTACGCTTCCTTCTTCTGGTGCTGATCATGAGGCTGCTCTGCCTTTGCTGCCGCCGTTTGGTTACGAGCCAAAGCCTTACAATGGACCTCGGGGCGATGAGGTCTTCCAGAAGCGAAAGAAGTTTCTGGGTCCTTCTCTTTTCCATTATTATCAGAACCCTGTATGTTTGTTTATCTTTACACTTTCTTTTACCATTTGGATTAAATGCGGACTGTTTCTGTTTTGGTTAAAATCATTTACCATTTGGATAACTGGTTTGTTTCTCTGTTCTTGGACTTCAATCCCTCCGGCCGTTCGGCTGCTGAGAAACTAGAGGAAAATTTAATCAAACGGTATTTTCATGAGAAAATTTTAAAAGGAACTGACTATAATATAAAACATAGTATCAATTTTTTTTTTCTTTTTTCTTTTTTTAATCAAGACTTGGGACCTTTCAATTGGACCATGGATTTCAGGACCCATTTATATTTTGTTACATGTATGTTCATTTGAATTAAACATGCACTTTCTCTGTGGCTGGTTCGTTTTATCGTTTGAAAAAGGCTTTACAATGGCTCTGTCTGGTTAAAAAATATAAAATCATGTTGCTTCTCTTGCCATGCACCAATCAATAAGAAGTGAAATTTGAGTGACTTTTGACATTTAGCTAAACTCTTGCAATCTCGTATTATTGGTAAAACTGCTTGCCGAGCAATTATTCAGTCAAGTTTTGTGGTAGAGTCTTATGTTGCATGTATCATAGTCGAAAAATTCTGGTTCCAAGGCATAAGGGTGTTCCTATATGATTTATTGCCTTTGCTCAACACCACCAGTTCATTTGCTAGTGAATGGAAATTATTGTCTCTCCGCCTGTATGATGTTGCATTTGCTTTTGTGCTACCGGATGTCCACTTCTATATTAACACAGTTTATGCAAAACTGATTTCTTTGTTTTATTTATCGTTGTGTAAACAGCTCAATATTGTTGAAGGGAAGATGCAATATTTGTTTGATGAGAATGGCAGGCGCTACCTTGATGCTTTTGCTGGGATAGTAACTGTTTCTTGTGGACATTGCCATCCAGAAGTTTTAAATGCTATCATGGAGCAGAGCAAGCTTCTGCAGCATGCCACAACCATTTACCTGCACCATGCAATAGCTGATTTTGCCGAGGCATTAGCTTCAAAAATGCCTGGAAATTTAAAGGTTCAAGTGCTTCAAACTAGATTTCCAGACAATTTCTGACACTAAATTTTATTTTCTCTTAATGGTAGAAAATTATATATTTGTTTAATTACAGGCTGCATAAGCTATTATAGTTTAGCCTTCCCTTTGAAATAGTACTGAATAGAGCAACAGTGTTATGGTTTATCTGGTTTCAAAACTTGAGATACTTCTCAATTACTGCAAGGACAGAAGACTTCTGGGACTGTTGTGTAATCCATTTTATGTGCTTCATTTATCACCTTTTTTTTATTGCCAACTACTGAATAGACAGTTATAAACTGCAGGTTGTTTACTTTGTGAATTCTGGGACAGAAGCAAATGAATTAGCAATGTTGATGGCTCGTCTATATAGTGGCAGTCTTGATATGATTTCATTGAGAAATGCATATCATGGGGGAAGTTCTAATACAATTGGTTTGACCGCTTTGAACACATGGAAGTATCCAATTCCACAGGTTTGTACAATCGTAGTCAGTATAGATCCAAAGATCCATCTTCTGGCATGCTACGTTTAGAATACATCCAAATTTGATATGTCATTACTTTTATAGAGAAACTGGGGAGAACCAGAGTTCCATTTCCAGAGAGGTAGGCAAGGTGATCCGTTAACCAGTTTATCACATTTTAATTACAATAACATGTAAATTATTAGTGTTCCAACATATGTTACCTGTGATATGCGTCTATGCTGTTCAATTTGGTCTCTTGATGTAAACCAAGGTTATGGAAGAATTGTTTCTTATCTTCTGACACAATTTATGGTTTTGCAGGCACAATATTCTCAAAATAAAAGTTCTAAAAAATGTTAATAAGACTACATTTAATTAAGTTATTTTTTGTCCATTATGATTAATAGTAGTTATAAATACGCATGGTAGGAAGTTCACTATAGATAATGTCCTATCATCACAAACTTTCTACTCCATGATGAGATTGTTTGTAACTCATTCTAACATAGCAAAGCATGCCTATGCAATGCACATTGATCAATTCATACTCTTGCCGAGTCTTCAGTCTTTGGCTTATTACCTTTTTTTTCAGTGTCACCAATATAAAGTTATGCAATAATCATACACGAACACTATTGAGACACCAACTTCTCTGTATTATCTACTTACTACTTGCTTTATCATTGCAGGGTGAAATTCATCACGTTGTAAATCCAGATCCATACCATGGACTCTTTGGCTCGGATGCCAAAAGTTATGCGAAAGATGTACAAGATCACATTGATTATGGAACTTCAGGAAAAGTTGCTGGATTTATATCTGAAACAATTCAGGTTGGTACTGAATGTTGTTTCAGATGTGGCTTTAAATTTATACATATAATGCCCTGTGCTTAGGAATCTGATACTTTATTCAAAAAATTTCTTCACATTATCTAACTGTAGGGAGTTGGAGGAGCAGTTGAATTGGCACCTGGATATTTAAAACTGGTTTATGACATTGTTCGCAAGGCTGGTGGTGTCTGCATTGCTGATGAAGTACAAACTGGGTTTGGGCGCACAGGAAGCCATTATTGGGGCTTTGAAACGCAGGGTGTCATTCCTGATATAGTTACCATGGCTAAGGTCTTTAAATATCAATTGATAGTTTGTATTTTATCTTTGAAAAGTTGACTTATGCAGTTTGGTGTTACAACAGTAGTGTATGGTTGTGTTGTATGTTTTCACTATCAGCCTTTTCCTATAGATGACTTTGATTTTAGTGAAACACAATAACTTATTTACTGAACTATTTACCACTTTATTCCCTTGTTAAAAAATTTCAGGGCATTGGAAACGGGTTGCCATTGGGAGCAGTGGTGACAACACCAGAAATAGCAAGTGTACTAGCCCAGAAGATTCAATTCAACACTTTTGGTGGAAACCCTGTATGCTCTGCTGGAGGGCTTGCAGTGCTCAGAGTTATTGATAAGGAGAAGCGTCAAGTTCATTGCGCTGATGTTGGCTCTCACTTGCTTGGGCGTTTGAGAGATCTTCAGCAAAGATATGAAAGTAACTACCCTTTGAACTCGATGTCTGTAGAATTCTCTCTATTATAGGCATGTATCTCTGGAATTTAAATATTTATCTATAGCCCATGTCATGGCCCTTTGTTAATGGGGAAATCAGCTGAGCCAGTTTTATATTTTTGAATGTAAGCAAAGCTTACTCTGTAGTAGTACACTGAACTACTCTAAGGTTTGTCTCATGATACCTATACTCGTTTTGGTATGATTCGCTACTAAAAAATGTTTAAAATGACAGAAAGTTGGTCTTCCACCAACATTATATTCCAAAAGATGGAGTTACTCTTTTCCTTTAATTTCCCTACATATAGTTAGCTAACCTCATTAGAGTTTTATTGTGCTTAGACTTGATTCTATTGCCTCGCTCTATACTTTGCCTTGTAGAATCAGTTGAGTCCTAACTGATTGTTTGCAATTTGGCCCTCCTCTTTCTGATGCCATATTTTGGTCTCTGAATCTGTTAAATATTACTTCAAGTGTTTATATTTATATTCTATGTCAGTCATTGGAGATGTCAGAGGCCGAGGCTTGATGGTGGGGATAGAGCTTGTCACTGACAGGAAAGAGAAGACGCCTGCGAAGGCAGAAACCACAGTTTTGTTTGAGAAACTCAGAGGTATCAAGACACCCTCCCAGCTCATAGTATAAATTCTTTCAATGATTCCTAAGTTAAATTACATTTATCTCCATGAATTCCTTTCTACATACTAATCATAATTTGGTTATTGATTGAAGAGCTCGGAGTTCTTGTTGGCAAAGGGGGACTACATGGAAATGTTTTTAGGATAAAGCCACCAATGTGTTTTACCAAAGATGATGCAGGTACTTTTTATGTCTTACGCTTGGTATGAATTAGCCCAAATGGTAACTGGAAAGCATTATATGAGATGAGAGACAACAGCCTAATCAACATAACACACACACACACACATATTATGTATACATGTGAATAATAATTAATTTTTTCCCTCCCCCCCCGTCCCCAAGTGCACCCGCGCCCGTTCGATTCACGTATAAGACAATCTTGAGGCAACCCAATATAATACCTCCCCCTCTCCCTCCCTAGCGAATGACAAAAAAGAAGAAAGAAATATAATAATTATTTTCTAATAAGGTCCATAACTTCTGTCCCGAAGAAGGTCCTTCAATGAAGACATGTTTTTCAACTGTTACATATTGTACATGAATGGTTCATATGCATACTTACTGTGAGCATGCATTTGGGCGTGTGCGTGTGGTGACGTATAACAGAGGAAATAATTGTTTTAGGGTTGTGTTTTTTTCGGTTGAGATACATACTTAGGTTAAACTTTTATGTCTGCAGATTTTCTTGTTGATGCTTTGGACTACTCCATGTCAAAGTTGTGAGGGCTAATACATGAAGAACCAAATGATATTGTGGTTTGTAAAGAACTTTCAATAATGTAAAGTTAAATTCCTAGAGTTTGTGCTCATTTTACATGAGAAATAGCAGCTTGGTCATCTCCCCAAAGGTGTCTTGCAACCGTTGGATGAAATCGATCCATGTACGAGGAGTGAGGACGCCAATCTATGCACCAAAATGGATTCCTCTAGCTTATCATCAGAGGCCATTAAGAGAGTGAGAGAAGCTGTATGTTTTTCATTGTTAAGGATGGAAGTTGCTAATTTACTAAACCCTTTTTGAGGTCTGGTTTTTCTTCCTCCAAAATGTCACCTCAAAGTGGAAAAGTGTTGAATACAGAGCCAACCAACATTCTGTAATTAAGAAAGAAAAATTGTCAGTGTTGCGTAGGTTATTTTCAACACTCACAAACCTAATGATACAAAGAGGGTTGTTAAAATTACCTTCCAAGTAGCTTTTCAATTCTTAAAGCTCAAGTTATAAACAATTATAAGTAATCCCTACGATTATAACTTAAGGGGCCTCTAGATACTCTAGATGGATGTGAAAGGATGTCATTTTACAACTTCCAAATTTTTTTTTAATCTCATATTAAAAACGCAGCATGAAAAGATAAGCCTGATGTCCTATCAAAAGTAGGCTCAATCTGATAAATTTAGCAATGAAACAGTTGGAGTTGCTGGCAGCAAAGATTGTGTTCATTAAGTCAAAGACAGCCTTGCGGCCGAAAACATGCATATAGCAAGCTCCGGCAGTCGGAGCTTCCATGCCACTTCTGGTAAAATACTGCAGTGAATTTATAACAGAGCTCAGCTCACAGCTCTGATTGTAATAAGTAAAAACTATCTTTGATGAAGTCTGCAGTCGGAGCTCGCATACATACCAAAATGCCTTATTTAACTTTTCCAGAACAAGACTGTCCGTTTTCAAGAGTAAAGGATTCTTAGGGATGCATGACATCTGCTGTAAGGTCCCCCGCCGAAGATTATCAGCCTGTTTGGGTAAAAAGATGATTTAGTCAGAAAACATGTCATTGAAATGTTAAGAAAACTAATTACAAGGAAAAATATGTAAAATTAACACCAAATACTAGAAAAACAAAAATATCACAATGATTCACGTAACATGAAAATCTCAGGCAACACCAAAATTTTTTGTTCACCCCTTAACATAGAACTCATTATGTGATTACTTGATGCCTTGTCCCGGTGAAAGCTTTAAATTACCAAATAGCTGACTAGTTGTAACCCTATTTTGTCATTAAGTTAATATCACAAATTCACTTGTCACATTAAGAAATTAATTTGTAATCAGATATCCTCAAAATTAGGAATTAGGTCAATTAAAAAAAAGAAAATAGTTGATACGATTCCAATTCCTTAATTCCGTGTTATTTTAAGTTTTCCGACTCATGACAGTAAAGTAAAATACTAGTACAATTTCCAAATTAATTTCTTTCTAGGTTTTGGCCCAAAAGTAAGAAAAAACTTAGGAGTGTTTTTTGGTTGAGAAGAGGAAACCAAACGACCAAAAACGTGGATGCTTCTCTCTCCCGCTCTATCTCCCCTCTCTCGCTCACACGCTTCTCTCTCCCTTTCCACATTCAAACACCAACAAATTCTCTTCTCAATCCTATTCCCCCAACGATAAAATAGAGTTGGAAAGCTGATAAATTTCTTCTGAGTGTTGCAGTGCTCTGCCTCTTCAGTTGGGTTGATCTTGGTATTTTTCTCTTGTGCTTGAGGTATGCTTCTTTTGATTTCTGGCTGCTGTTGGTTGGTAGATATGTGTTATTTTTGTTTGAACAATGTCGCAATGACTAGAAGTTTTGGCTTTTGTATTTTCACAATCCTGCTCTTCTATGAATCTGGGCAATATTTTTCTTCTTCTTTTAGGTACTTATATGAGCAGGACAACCAAGAGCTCTTCACTATAAACAAAAAAGTGATATCTTGTGGCCCTGAGTTTTCATAGTCAATTACAGTGGTGTAATCGATTTTGGTTTATATATCCCACGCATTCAATTTGCATCATTAGATGCTTTTATCTTATGCTTACCTGCACTGTGTTGCTGCTTGCTGCTCTCTCTCTCTCTGCCCTCACCTAATCAGACTTATCACACATCCCCTCTCCTGGCCTCTTCTAAAATTAATTCTCAACTTTTTCTTCAGAGAAATTAGTAGTCAAGAATCATGTAGCCGACAACACTTTAAGGGAATGTTTGTTAGACCGGACTAGAACAGGGATTGGGCTATTTTGCACCAATCCTGCGTTGAACTAAACAAGGGCTTACTTAGCAACTGGACTAAGTAGGATTAGAAGCTCACCAACTGGGCTTATTTTAGACCACTTAAAGTGTACGTAATAGATAGCTCCAGCAATACCGGTACTTTAAATGTGATTAATAATTTGGTAAATCCTTATGGGTGAGAATGGTTTAATGTTTTTTGAGTTAGAGAGTTCCAGAATGGGTTGGATGGGATACAGATGCAGCCGCACCTTCCAATACAGCTACCTTGTTACGACTTCACTCCAGTCACTAGTTTTTTTATGGATTGCCATTTCTAGTATTGCTCCAATTAGACTTCTTATGTCAGGATACGGGTCAAATAATAAAGAAAAAACGTGAACGGTGATTGGATTGATGATAAAATAGAATCCTGGGTATCACTCTTGGATTTGGATGTTTGGTAGTAATTGCTGCTACTGCTTCTTCATTTTTTGGGTGGGGTGTTGGATTGCATTGATGATTAAATCTTGGTTTTCCTATATTGCTCTGTTACATATCCTTTGATTAGTTTTACAGCTCTAATTTGTAATTGAATACTGCAGGGTTCAATTTTAGCTATGTGTCCTTTCGTGTTGTTTGTAATATTCTGGTGGTTTTATTTTGTAGTGTAATCACAGTTTGCTCAAACTTGTAGTGTGCTACAGACTGATGATAGCCTTCTGGGTAATCATACAAACTGTCATGCATTTGAACTTAGCGATACTATCTCTTTATTCATTTGGAGATTATATGAAATTCACATTTTTTTTTCATTACATGTTGGCTTGCTGTAATGCTCCTCATTTTTTCTGTTTTTAAGAAGTGTTGTATGATAATTTCATGACTAATGTCATCATTAGTTCTGTTTTTAACAACTGTTTGATAATTGTTCTGATAAGCAGAGCTGGTCGAGATGGCAAATAGTAAATACGAGTATGTCAAGTCGTATGAAGTCGAAGATGAGGTTTTTCTGCCCAATTTCATTGTTGTTCAAATCAACGGCCGTGGTTTTAAGAGGTTTTTAGTATTTCCCTCTCGTTGCTTGTGTGAGCCTGAGACGACAAGACAATGATTTTCTCCTTTAATTTTCCGTCAGGTTTTCTCAAGTTCATGAGTTTGAGAAGCCAAATGACGAAGTAGCTTTGAATTTGATGAACTCATGCGCTATTTGTGTGTCAGAGGAGTTTCCTGATGTTGTGTTTTTGTACGGATTCAGTGACGAGTACAGGTACTGCAACTGCGATGTAATCTGTTTATGTTCCATTTATATTAACTTAGTTGTATGAGAGCTTCATTGTGTTGTCTACAGCTTTGTTTTCAAGAAGACATCCAAGTTCTACCAGAGACGTGCCAGGTTTTTATTCTGAACCTTAAATTGAGCTTTCTTTGTTTGTGATGCATCTAAGATTGTTGTAACTGTGCTTATTTGCATGTGATTCTCAGGTTGTATTCAATTTCAATTTTGATGAAATAATTTATATGCAAATTGTATGTGCAGCAAAGTAGAGTCCATTATTGCATCTTTCTTCACATCGGTATATGTGATGAAATGGAGAGAATTCTTTCCTCATAAGGAGTTAAGATACTCCCCTTCATTTCATGCACAGGTTATAAGCTGTGCTTCAATAGAAGTCCTTCAATCATATCTTCTATGGAGACAAACTAATTGTAAGTAGTCTCATAATGCTGTTTCGAGTCTGGAAGTTACTATATAGTCATTTTCAAATGACAAGTCTCTGATTCAAGAAAAACTTTCAAGTGAATTTTCTATTTACATGTTGTGTTTGCAGGTCATACAAATAACCTACATAAGACTTGCCAATGGGAGCTAATTAAATGTGGAAAGACCGAAAGTGAAGCATTGGAGTTACTAAGGGTGAGAAGATTTAATTGTACTTTATGCATTAATTGACTTTTTTTAGATGCATGCTTATTTGAGGAAGAGGTTATGTTAAACTGTACCATGCGTTCGTCTATATTTATTGTTTGTGTCCTTTCCTTTTTAACGTTATGTTGTGAGATACTTGTGCTTCAATCTTTTCTTTTCTATTATTGAAAATGGTCTAGTTTTTCACCCATTAAAAATAAATTTTAATTTTCAAATACAGAATGTTGTTAAATGTTGATATTTATAATTCTATTTTTCACCTATGATTATCTATGTAATATGCAGGGCACTAGTAAGGAAGAAAAAAATGATCTTCTTTTCAGAAATTTTGAGATTAACTACCAGAAATTGAATCCGATGTTCCGACAAGGATCCTGCATTTTGAAAACTGAGGTTATCTTTCAATTCTGTAGTGAACTCTATCATACTGATCTTGGAAATCAAACTTTCCATTTTTGTTTCTAGGAAGTTTTTATTTCAATCTATTGGAAAGGTAGAATTCTGGAGCTTTTTGCATACTTTATTTTATCTGTATGATGTAAAATGCTGAAAGAAATAAACCTGCACTTGCATATGCATATTTTAACATTTCTGTTTTATTAGGAGTTATAGATGCCTTTACTAATATGTTCTAGTTCACGTGACATTATAGATGCATCCTGACTTCTCATGCTGAAATCTTCATTGTACATTATTCAGGTGATTGACATTGTAAAGCACAGAGAAAATGGCTCTCCTGTCAGGAGACTTAGAAAAAAGTCTAGCATAGTCCATTCAAAGAATATAGCTGGAAAATGTTTTTGGAACAATCACACTGGTCTTCTGAAGGAGCTCGGTAGCTTTACAAATGACATTGGAAAAGTTGAACCAGATTATGTTAGGTCCTTCCAGTTTAAAAAATACTGATGCCCTCAACTTGGATTGTTATTAGAATTGATGGTTGCCATTTTCACAGGTAAACTATTCCTCACGTGACAACATAGCTTATTGTGGTTGTTGTTGGTCTAAATGTTTTATCGTGGGTTGCTAATTATTAAGGGGAGGTGTCCTACATATGGTTCCAATCCTAAAATTTTATTAGGTTATAAAATTTACTTCTTCTGTTTAGATCACTTATTGAGAATTTTCCATGTTGGACCATTAAGTGGGTACAACTAAAGTGCTAAGTCATTGTTACACTACAAACAGTATACAACATGGACTATTTAATTTCTACATGGATGCATGTAATTTTGTTGTTAGATATCATGCTAAAATTCTAGAAATGATACTTAGTGTTTAGCTGTTTGGCTTTTTGAAGGTTTTCAGATGTTCATGAATTTGTGAAGCCGAATGATAAGCAAGCCCTCAACCTTATGAATGCATGTGCAGTGGCTGTTGTAAAAGAGTTTCCAGACATAGTTTTCTCCTATGGAGTCAGTGATGAATACAGGTATAAAATAGATTTTATATCAGAATGTTGTGATCTATAACATTAGTTTAATTGTTCCTATTATTTTGCAGCTTTGTTCTGAAGAAGGATTCTCATTTCTATCAAAGGCAAGCAAGGTTTTTCTTCCATCATCTTTCTTATAGTTTCTATACTTTAGATGCTGTTAATGGATATCCTATATGGAATATAGTTAAATTTGTCTTTGGAGACGAAATGCAAGCAACCAAACACCTAAGAAAATTCACTTAACCAGGAAATTTATAATGTAACAACTTTTGATGAGCAGTCAATAAATGGTACAACAACCAGAAGATTAAGCTGATTGAGAAGGTCAGCTATTAATAATGAATTTTCTTGGGTCAGGAATTACTTTGTATTTCAGACTTTAGGTGATTGTTGGATTTTATTTATTTATTCATTCAATAAGATTATTGTTAGATTTTAGATCATGTTAGATTTATAGTTACAATCGTTGACAATGCATTCTTATTCTATATGCATAGATTAACTAATTTTTCTGTAGTGAATTACAAAACTAAGGTTATTTTTTGTCATGCTTGCTCTCAACCCAGGAAGGTGCTTCTCAATGAAGCTCTTTTATAACACTGTTTGAAGTACTTTTTGTTTGAAGAAATGAGCTTTTGGGCCTCAAATTCCTATATTTCTCTGCTAGGTCTTTCATATTGTTTATACTTGATGCACTTTTTCCCCATAAATCAAATTGGTCCTTTTGACCGGTATTAGAATTACTAACAACTTCACCTCTGCAGTGAGATAGTATCTGCCATTGTGTCATTATTCACTTCCATATACATAACGAAATGGAAAGATTTCTTCCATCAAAAAGAGTTAAAGTACCCTCCTTATTTTGATGGACGTGCTGTGTGCTATCCATCAGTTGAAATTCTTCGAGACTATCTAGCCTGGAGACAAGTTGATTGTGAGTATTTCAGCTATAAATTTTCAAAAAAGAGAAAATGGGATTTAACTCTTTGACATTACTAAAAGCTAGAAGCAATAATTTTTTCAGTTTGTTTAAGGTTGCATTCAAAACTATGTACTTCATGTGGATAATGTTGTAAAATCAGTGGCGTCAAATTTCAAATGGGTTTGCAGGCCATATCAACAATCAATACAATACTTGTTTCTGGGAGCTTGTTAAGTCTGGAAAAAGCAAAAGTGAAGCTCAGAATTTTCTAAAGGTATTTGGTCCGTGCAGTATATTTTGGACACAATCTTTCTTCTCTAGGAGTCTACCCTCCACCTTTATCAATTTTAATAAAATTTTCTTTTGTATGTAGGTATGTCATTCCAATTTTTTTTAGTGTTCCTTGAATATTATTTTTGCATGATTTTCATATTCTTGTGGTAGCCCTCTTTATTAAAATAAATAAATAAATTGACAGGGTACTCAGACTGGAGACAAAGAGAAATTGCTGAAGCAATTTGGTATTGACTACCACAAATTACCAGCCATGTTTCGCCAAGGTTCCTCCATTTTCTGGGACAAGGTTGTCTTTCTATCTCTATTGGATATGAAAATTTCACAGTGCAATATTTTTTTATTATAAGATGTCGGCAACTCCTACCACCGGTTCATCTTTAACTTCACTCAAATATTAAAATGACAGGAATACATAGGTTAGTTTATATGTGGAAAGCTTGGACTAATTAGTTCGGATTGGCCTTTGAGGAAAGTAATGTTTACTGGGCTGCTGAATTATAGATCACATGGGCCAGATGGCCAACTTGCCTAATAGCAGATCTCATTGATGCTAGTTTGGCAACCAACCCTTTTTTCCCAAGTTTAAGCTAGTATTTTGACCAGAGTACCAGTGTCAGTAGATACATCTTATACTTTCCTGTGGAAAATGTGGATGAATGGAATATGCATAATTCTGTCCTTGCTTCATCATGACTCGTAACTAATATTTCAGTTGGGACTTAGGATATTCCCAAGTTGATTTGGTTGAGTAGAGATGGAATTAGTAACCGAACTCATCTGCGGGTCATTCTTTCAGTAGGTTTCCATGACTGAAATCTTTTGGAGCATACCCTTTATATCCACTGACTTCTCGGAACAAGTGTAGTTCATTGATCTTTTATTCTCCATGGCAACTTCAACAGGTTTCTATATTTTATGAGATTAGAAGTGGTGAGAAAATAAGGATAAGTGATTGTTTATGCATTTGTTGACCTCTTTTGGAGTCCTAATGAGTAGATACACGCAGCATTCTGACTAACGTGGGGTTGGCCATTAGCGGATCCTCTTCTGCAGTTTTTTTCATTCTCTTGGTTTCCCCTTTTTCTGTTTAGTACACGTCTGTGAAACACCCACCCAGGATGCTACAAAAGGAATGGCCTGGAGGTCTAGTGGAGCCTTGAGTAGATAACGCACACAACACTCCCAATTAATCTGAGATCTATTTTTTCCTTTGGCCATTAAGAAACACACATACATACACACCATCTATGAAATTTGAGATCCACTTTAGACACTTCAAAGGAATTTCTATCCGAATGGTTTTTTACATGCTAGTTCTTTATTTTCCCTTGATATGCAGGTTTCATTCTTAAGCTTTTATATTTATTCTGCATGCAGGAAGACGTCACAATGATGCAGGAGAAAGAAAAACCTGGTGGAAATTCTTTGAAAAGAGTTATTGTAGAACATTGTAATATAATTGAGCCAAGCTTTTGGGCTGCGCATCCAACAATTCTTTATAGGTAACTCCATAGATGCTGTGAAGCACTGAGTTCTTTGTTATGGAGAAATTGAAGACCTTAGCAATACCAAATTGAAGACCAGTTTTCCAAACCAAAACAAATCATCACGTGGCTTTACTTGAGTCCCGGTAGCTGGCCCTGTTTGTTCCACAATTTCAAGTGCTAAGGTAGAGACAACATGCTGGAGCTTTGTTCCAACCAGCATGACAAGCTCTGTCTCTGTGGAGCCCAGTCTTGACCTTCCCCTGCTCTTGCAGGGCTGGTTCTTGCTCTTCATGTGCTTGCAAAGTTGTGGAAGGGAGTGTGGACCAGTAAGATTAGAGCTTCCTTGATGATGACCAGATTGAAGTGTGGATTTGTCCTTGGTTGTGCGGCTTATCCCTCATCTGATGTTGTACTTGAAACCCACAGGGAAGAGGAGCTCACTGGTTAAGTGTGATCTCTATATTTCACCGTGGTTGCTTGTATTGGCTTAGTTTATTTCAGGATAAGGTATTTCTAATTAAATGAGTTGCTTAATGTTTTTGTACTCTCATTTGTAGTATGAAATCATTGTAGCTTGTAAACCCTTACATGAATTTTCTCTTAAATCCTCTCTCTCAGGTTTCTGAGTTTAAAAGTGAAGGGTAAGAGCCTTACAAGGGAGACTGATAGCGGAAGGAAATGAGTTTGAGCATTGCTTAACAGGATATACATCCAGTGTTCAGCCACTATTCCAAACATGAACTTTAAGTGGTACATTGAACTCAGCTACATTATAATCTACCTAATTATCTGAGATAACTTCTATTTAACCATGCCAAAAAAGAATCCTCAATTGGCTAAGTTGTCAATCAATACTTTGAATTCTTGCTTGAGAAGCCAAGAACTCATGTTTTCTGAAACAACTCTAAAAGAGTATCCACCTTTTCTTCCATTCCATTGCCTTCATCATCTTCGTCACTGATGGTTGGAGGTTGTGATGCACTAATTCTTACCGATTCAGATAAATACTCTTCCACTCGGAATGAGTATTCATGTTGAGGTGGTTCAGACGGCTCAAGAACAGCTTCAGGCTGTTCCGCTGACGCTACAGTTACTTGATGGAGTGAGTCCAAGGAAGAGCTCCGAGACAAAGTGCCAGATGCAACTGTTATTTCATCTCTCTCATCAATTGTCGTATCAAGTGAACAAACTGACCTTGTAGCATGCGAATGCACAGAATCGCGTCTAGACCTCTCCTTTACTCTCTTGCACCAGCTATGGAGTGAATCTCTGACACTCTCGGCAACCAGAGCTTTCTTGCACCGTGATCCCATCTGTTGTCATCAAATACAAAGAATGAACATCAAAATACCTCGTTTGTACAACTTGAACAAATTTCAATCTTCTCTAACTTCTCTATGTTCCTATAAATGAGAAACCCCTAGTTTGTTTGACAAAGGAAACGATTACTGAAATTTGTGTGTCCATGTACAATGTGCATAGTGATCGGTCATTCTGCAGAATGCTACATTTACTTTCTGCCTTGTTCCAATAAATCAAAAGATTTATATTTCAGAATTGTTGAAGAGTTTTAAGCAAACCTGTGTGACAATTACGTTCAGAGGCACTGTGCTGTAGCTACACCAGAACTGAACAAGAACACTGCAATTTCCGAAAAATTAATAAAAATATTTTAAGATGCATATTACTGATCCAACAAATCCATAGTCTCTAGGGCTGATTGGCATAATTAGGATACTGTTCATATGTATTAGCAACAGAAGTGGCATGACTGGAATTTGTTGTTTGATAAAGTACATAACAGAGAAAGCAACTTACCCAGAGGTCAACCGGATAACTATCATTAAGTGGTTTTTCATGAAGCATGATCTCTCCTTAAGTCCCCACTACAAAGACAAAAACTCATACAATTCCCATGAATGAAAAAGCAAGCACACAACTAAAAAAAATTTCAATAATTGTAAGCAAGGAGAACAGATCTGTTAATTCTGCAACTAGTGTGAATACGAAAATTATATGCACCGTATAACAACTTCGCCTACCAATTTCCATTTAATATTTGACAGGAAAAATAAAACAGAAATATATAATGGTTTTTCTTTTTTGTATTATGAAGAAGCCCATATGTGATGTATATTATCTGACTTTTACTTCTTTATTTTCTGTAAACTCTCCTTGAAAGTTTTCCTTGCTTTCAGAAGCATGTTAATCAACAAAGTATTTCCCATCCCATTACAAGCTTACAATGTAAGGAAAAATCTCTGAAATTGCATCCAGCCAATTTATATATTGTTTCATGCGACTAATGTCTTACCAAGGACCAGAGAAAGGTTGCCATCTCAAATGCATTCTGCAGGGATGCACAAGAAAATGAGTGAGGATTTTTCTCATGAAGATTTATTGTAAATATTCATAAATAATATATACACATAAGATGTAAATTGCAAATATTCATAACCTGAAATATGATGAACTGTATCAACCTCAGTAGTATCACCGGTTTCCCAAACCAAAACAAATCATCACGTGGCTTTACTTGAGTCCTGGTAGCTGGCCCTGTTTGTTCCACACAATTTCAAGTGCTAAAGCAGAGAGCAACATGCTGGAGCGCTCCCACAACAGCATCACAAAGAGCTTGCTTGCATTGAAAAATGCCAGAAGATAGAAATTGTCCCAAAATGAAATTAAAAAGAAAAAAAAAAAAAAAAAAAAAAAAAAAAAAAGAAGAAGAAGGAAAATTGATTTAAGGGTATTTTAGTTTAATTCAATGATAACAAGTATGTATACTTACAATGGCAGGGATGAAAGAAAGCCAAAAGTAAATATTCAAACCTGCAGAAATTGAAAAATTAAATAAAATTAAATAAACAAAAATAAAAATAAAGGTTAGGAAATAAGGCTCCAAATATCTATAAGTTCAGTATATTTATTTGCATCTGAACATACAAGAATTTACCATGAATATTTACGAAAATGCACACTATGGCATATCCCCAAAGTGGCCAGCTGCAAAATCAGAAGTTAATTCAGATACAACCTTGCTTCTTCCCCATAAGATAATTAAGAAATGCTTAAGAAATCAAATATGTTTAAGAGTTATAGGATGATGAAATATAGAAGAAATTAATGTTCAATTATTAGATTACTGTAACCTTTTTTTTCATCTGAACAGTATCGAAAGAATGTGGCACTTGTGATGTATAAACAAAGCAATTTTGGAACATATTTCTGGTATGGGATACTTAAGTGTTGAAAAAACCCTCTTCCCAGTCAAGTATTACATTTCCTGATGTGGAGAAAAGGCCAGTCAGTTAATTTTTGGTCTTAGAGTCGTATAATGACTACCTGAATCTTACATCTAACATAAATAAATATAATTTCCATTACTTCAAGATTAATCTTAAAGTAAAGACGTAGACCACTTTAATTATTGACGTTCAAGGAGAAGGCTTAATTTGCAACCATAATTAAAAGCATTCTAATTAATTCCTAGGGGCATGGGCAAAGCATGACAACTCAAGTACATAAAACAACAATAATAGAATTAAGGTAACCCAAGAGATCAAATAAGACACTATTATATCAAGCTACATAGATATAAATTATGTAATCCAGAAAAGTGCCTACCTAATACCCAGAATGCCCTGAAATTCATCTTCCATACTCCGGACCATATATTTATGAAAATTGTAAGAAAGTGGAAGTTTGTGCTTCTGCATATTATTAACACAAATCAGTACAATAATAAAATGATAAAGCAATGAGAAAATGATGTTCCAGTGAACAAGAGAGTCAACAGAAATGCACTGGTGTTACAAATCTCAAAATACTGCAAAATCTGCAACTATGCAGCACTTTGTTCAAATATTTCGAGGTTTCTATTGCAATATGAAAGAAAGAAAGTTAAATAAAAATAAGCCCAGTAGGAAACATGTACAACTAAGGGCATCAATAATAAAACACCCACACTGATGAAGCCCAAACGCAGAGCCAAGTAATCAGATCTCTGTATGGAACTCTTAAATTGTCGTAGAAAGCAGAGCTGCAGTATTAGGACACAAATCAACATTACCTTACAGTCATTTGAAAACTCAACATGTCAAAGATATAGCAAAAAATTGGAGATAAGGGAAACACTAAGATCAAAGCAGTAAGGTATCTGATACATCTATTGTTTACAGTAAGAAGTTTTGACTGACAAGGTGTTGTAACAGTTGTCTTGTTCAGAATAAAATTGTGATAATGACTGTCATAAGAGCACAATTTATGTAAGGCATTAGTTTAAAAATGGTGACTAGAAGGGAGGGGGTGCAATTAATTCAAATCTTTTATGAAAAGGATGAAAAGTTACCATCCAAATCAGAAGCCGATTCCTGCTCCATGGATGAGATGTGTGATGAAATATAAAGGTGGATTGCCGCGTCATGACTCTGTTTTTCTTTCTATAGGAAAAACCAAGATGAGAAGGCTAATATAGCCAAGATGATAGATGATATAAGTACTTCAGAGACATGCAGACATAGGATAATTAAGAAAGCTTCAAAAATGCACTAGAAGTTGTTATCAGTTGAAAAGAAACAAAAAATGCATAAAATAAAATCTCTGAATAATACTCATCTTCTAGGACTCAATACAGAAGCAGATACTAGTGTCTGTATGAACTTGCATCAGCCAAGTGCACATCATCTTCCAAAACGGGTTTTGTAATTTGCTTGTTATTAGAACCCCCTGACAATGAACTAAAAGATATTTCCCATATCAAACTCCCAAGGAAATAGTCTCAAGTAGGGGTCTTTGCTTAAAGGCACTAGTGCATTTCTAGTTTCCAACCTAAAAAATTCATCCAAACTTGAGGAGTACATTTCTTTTGTTCATGATAACTTGTATTGGCCCAATTAACCCTGTATCACCATTTTTTGGTTTAGACTTAACAAAAAGAAACCCAGGCCTGTTGTACTATAGCCCTCTACAAACAGAAGTTAAGTGCTTAATACAGCAAACCCGGTTTGTTTATGAAGAATAGCCTTTATTGTTTAAATTAATTGACAAATTGATGCAGGATGCGTAGGACCTAAATTTATTAGTTTCCTAATACATTTGTTAGTTTCCTAGATTCTCTAGTTTTCCAAATTCTAGTAGGATTTCTACTTTTCCAGATGTCCAGATTTCTAGTTTTAAGTTTCCTATTTTATTTGGGTTAGGATTTCTGTTTAAGCAAGGGATTTTTATCCTATTATGTCTAGGTTTTAGTTTGCTATAAATACCCCCATGTAGTTCTTTAAAATTCAGATTTGAATGTTGAGTAAACCTTTTCCTAGAACTCTCGGATTTCGTCCCTTTGATCTATATTTCTTCTCCTCGATCTCCGATACTCTTCTTTGTTCTACTGTTTCTGTCCTTCATCTCGTCTTTTCGATCTCTATTTCTTCTCCTCGGTCTCTTATATTCTTCTATGTTCTATTGTTTGAGTGCTTCATCTAATACCTACGGGCTGTACTACATCACAAATGTAATTTATTTGGTTTAGCAAGTACGAGACATTTGCAATATTGATTTGCTTAGTCTGAAAATGTTGCAGGTTGGCGGGCATCAGGTTATCTACCTTTAGTGACCAATTCCTCCAATTAGAAACACGACATGTACTACGCGGAACAGAATTAATGGATATAAAGTGGTGTCATATGGCCTTGAGATTGACATCAATTAGGCTATTACATTATACCATCACCAAGTGAGAAAATTTTTACCAGCATAACAAGCCTTTATTTTGAAATTCAGAAGTTGCTAAGTCAGTGCAGAACAAAGAGGCAGTATTTTATTTTTAGTTTCCATTGTGTACCTTGCAAATTGGTATCAGCCACTGGACCATCTAGATTTTCCCATTTCCTCCAACTGTAAATCTGTAAACATGTGCATTAATTCAGAAGGCAGTGAACATCACAAGGAAATGAAATACATGAACTAGTTTGAAATATCAGGAACTAGAGATATAAAATCGGGGATATAGAGATTAGGTCAATCAGAATCAATCAGGTATATGAAGACCACACCTTGCTCATAGCCAAGGCAACAGCCAAACAACTATACAACACATGGGTGATCCCAAGTACAAACAAGAAACGATGCAGCTGCTCCAGTCCCTCATATGAAACAAATGGTTCATGGCCCTGCAGTTAACCATGAGAATTGGTAAGGCGAATGCGTCGACAAATCTTTTCAAAATTCAACCTTGGACATCAGTTTACCTCACCACATGATGAGAAAAGTTATTTAATCCTCTTGGAATTTCAGTCTTGTTAGGAGAAGAACTTTCTAGCATGGCATTCTCCTTGGTGCTGTAATCTCTCTCAGAACAGATATAAAATTGACTGGTGAAAAGAGAAGAATTTACACAAATCTCAGAGATCCACCTTGCTGATTGCGCCAACAACAAAGATATTAGCCCGAGCAGCATCAGCTCTGCCAGCAATACCAAAATGTGAATTTAAAACAGAAAAAATATAGCAAAATTAACCCACATTGTCACATAACTAGGGCTCTTAGAAGTCCACCACTCCAAAATTAAAAGAGAGAGATGACTAACTAACAAATCAAAACTCAAAGCCGAAACCCATCTCTGAAACAGTATCAGCAGTCAGATTCCCTCAACATTTTACGAACTTCTATTGTTAAACCCCACGCTCAACTCACCTTCCTTAATTTTCTCCAGAGAAGCAAATAGAGCTTTCCTCCTAGTCTTCTTTAACCACTGCACACAATAAAAAAAAACAAACAAATATAAGAAAATTGAAAATCTTAAATCCAAAAATTCATAAATGCCTTCCAGAACTTGATATAAGCTCACTAAAATAAGCCAAATTGTGTTCCATCAGAACAGTAACATTGAATTTGATTTATTTTGTTTCCTTTACTCTTAGCAACCAACCAGAGGAAAGTTGTGAACTGACTAAGCAGGTAGATATGCAGTTTTAATTAAGAAAAAAAAAATTAAATTCATTTTTACAGAAATTCTCATAGGCCAAATAGAGTTCATGAACACAACTGACGTCTTCCTCAAGAATGTAGCTAGCTGGCTAAAGAATCTATAAATCAGCATTTGTCTTAAACACTCTCTGTAACCAAACAGAGCATCATCATTTATTGCATAACTATTTTCAATCCTCTCCAAACCAAATTAAACTATGCCAGATAGCTACATGGGCCCCTGACAAATAAAAACCATAGCTGGAAAACAGAAATTCTTTTTCTGTTCTTTGAATCTTTTCTATTCAGTTCTGACATTTTCTCAGCAACCAAATGCAGCACTACAAATAACTTTTTGTTTCCTCTCAAACATCTCCAAACTTAGCTGAACAATCTAGACATCAGCAAATATATAAGCTAAAACGCAAAAGCAGGAACCAAACAGGAAACAAACAGGAAACAACAACAGAAATCAACCTGCTTACCCTTCCAAATCTGTAGATTGACCTTTCAACCAGAAGGCACACAAACACCATAACCGTAACAACCGAAGCCACTGAATAAGTTGGTGTCTCGGCCAAGGACCTTTGTTGCTGTATCACCACCTCCATTCTTCGTATCAACAAAAGAAACCATCAACTCTCACACTCTCAAAGTTTTGAACTTTCTTACTTGGAAAGCTGGAAACTTTCTCAAGAAAATGGAACCCAAGTGGAAAAAAGTAAAGAAAAAGGGAAAGATCCAGGAAATGGGGAAGTGGGAAATAGTAAGATGAAGCTAGACCACGTTGTTCTGTAATATATTAATGTTAAGTGAAGTTGGATGTGGGGGTTTGAATTGAATAATTCAATAATTCAATAATTCAATAATTTAATATGATAGTAGGATCTTCTTCTTTTAACACAGGAGCTTAGTTTATGTCTATTATATTTATCGATTAGTTTTTCGTCAGTGTTGTGATTTTTTAACCAAACCCACCTTCAATTGCTTTGGAATTGCTGCTCTCTCTCTCTCTCTCTCTCTCTCTCTCTCTCTCTCTCTTTCTCTGTGTGGCTGTGATGGTGTCGCATGGTGGCAATGGTGCTGCAGGTCCCCTTCAAAACCTACTCACATGAAGAAGCAGCATATCCCTCCACAACTCCCTCTTTGGGAATTTTAAAGATCCAACGGTCCTTTATTATTTACAAAACGGGTAGAAATGAAATCATAATTCGGTCCAATTAAATTACTTCGATCATAATGATAACAGTTTCGGAAAAGAAGCCAACCTCGTGCATTTATTTATAAATTTCATAACTCGGAATCGGCATGGCTCTGAACCAAGCCCCAACAAGCCGAACTTAGAAAATTTAATGTTGGCCCAAATATATGTGGGCTTGAACCACTCCAAAGCTTACTTTTACAATATAGTCCTCTGGTTAACAACAAAAGGTCTTGCTAAGCATTTTTGAGAAATTGAAAGAAGAATTTATTCTTGTACATTACGAAGTTGCGAAGCAAGCTATTGATTCAAACAATAAGTAATATTGGTCTTTTGAGGATAAAATCCTCCTCATAATCCCAAATTTATATGAAATTCTATTCACATCCCTATGCTCTGTTTGGTGGGCTGAACTGAACTGCACATGTCCAACTAAATCGGGACAATAATATACTAAATATACTTAGCACATTTTTCTCCTAAAATTACAATTGCACCCTTAATGAAATTTAAAAAGAAATCACGATAGCTTAACCAACCCATCACAACCACCCACCCTACCTTGACACCGACCTCATGTGCCGATGATCCCTTCCTTTCTCTTTCTTTCCATTGAAAAATTAAAGAGCTTAGCATGTGTTTATAAGGAATTGGGTCACTTCCCCATTGCTAACTATATTTAGGATTGAACTTCAACCTTTATGGTATCATAGCCACGTTATTAACGTCTTTTGCCCAACAGCCACACAACACGTGCTTCGACAATGATAGAAGTTGTTCGTGGAGGTGTGAGGATGGAGTCAAGTGGACAGATTTTTGGGAGCTTCACATATAAGTCTAAAAATATAGAAGGGAAAAAAAACCTTACACAACCCAAACTAGTAGAACTCAGGATTTGTTAGATGTCTTACCTTTTTAGCACTCCTTATTTCATATGGGTTGTAACTGATCTCTTAGAGTTCTTGTAGATTACGGTTTCCATCGTTTTTACCTATGGGCTTGTGGTGTATAAATACATGGTTTCTCTCTATGGATAAATTATCGAGTTTCACTATTATACATGGTATCAAAGGTTCTCACAAACTTCTCTTAACCAATTTTCTTCTGTCGTAACTCATATTTATTTTTTACAACCTCTTTTCTTCTTTCATGGATGCTCCGCCGACTCCTACTTTATCTCTTTCTAGCTCCAGTGTTGCTTAATTTCTCAAGTTTCTAAGGCTAACTACATTCTATGAGAGAGTCAGATGCGTCCCTTACTTATTAGTCATTATGTATGTAGATATGTTGATGAGAGTTATGTGGCTTCTTCTCAAACCCTTCATGGTTCTAATGATCAACTTGTCTCTGCCAATCTGGTTTATGCTGCATGGTTTAAGGCGGACCAACTCGTTATGAGTCATCTCACCTCTACCTTATCTGAATCTATCTATTGATCATTGTTGGTCCCCTTTCCTCTCATGCTAGCTAGGACTGTCTTTGTCAACATTTTTCTGAAGTTTATGTTTCTAATGCAACTAATATTTGATTTCAACTTATGGATATCTCCAATGGCATGAAGTCTATACATGAATACCTTCAATATGTTAAGTCTTGAGTTGATTCTTTGGCAGCTATTGGTCAACCTGTCACCAATAATGATCTTGTTACGACAGTGTTCCTTAGGCTTGGCTCTGATTATGCCAAGCTCATTATAGTTATTCTTAAATTTCCTCATATGCCTCTTTTCAAGGATCTTCATGCTTACCTCATCTCTTTTGAGTCTAAAACCATTCGACCTTCCCCATCTATTGCTTATGCATTCACCGTCACTCAACAACTTTTTTTTTTTGCTGGTTCCTCTTTCTCTTTTTGCCCCAACTCCCTCCATCTTATCATGGTTGTGGTCTTACTCGCAACCCTAGACGTGGTGTTGGTTGCTTTCAATCGCAGCCTTGGCAGTTTCCCTTCTCGTATCGAATGCCTCGTTATGATGCTCCTTATGCTTCATTTTCCCATGGACTTCTTGGATCTGTTTGGTGGTCCATTTGTCACGCTACTTGTCATAATGTCTCTATGTGTCATAATCGATTCATTGCTTCATATTCTCATTTTGCTTGGATGTATATCTCTTACTCCTTTACCTCATATCCATCTACTAGCCTTGATGTCTGGTATCCTGATACTGGCACCACCTACCATATAACTAGTCATAGTATCACACTTTTGAGTTTAGTTCCTTAAATGATGCTCTTAATAATAGTGATACTATTTCTATCTCTAAAACTAGTACCATATCTCTTACCTTAGACTCTCATTATTTTCGTCACTCTAACGTTCTTCATGTTCCTTCTCTCTATAAAAATTTGCTCTCTAATGATTGGCTCACCAAAGATAGTTCGTTGCTATTTTGATTCTTCTAATATCACTATCTCTAACATACATTCAAGTGTCGTTCTCTTTTAGGGCCTGGGGCTAATTAGGAAGGAATATAAGGAGGGAAGGGTGAAGTGGTGACTTTGCCTTTCATAAGTGGGTTATGTGCGAATTACATGGGAAAAGTAATGGAGAAGTGGATAAAATCATTCAAAATCTGACAGTAGACTAGGGGTGGGCATCAAAATCGGAATACTGAAACCATGCCAAACCGTGCCAATCTCGTGCCGTCCCGTTTGGTGTTGAAGTGTAAACGGGATGATACCGTGTCATCCTGTTACTGTTTGGCACGACATCAGTCCCACATTTGTGTTCCCAATTGGTGTCATACTGTATTGAACAGTAAATTAGTTTTATTAATCCTAATTTAATTTTAGTTCCACCCCTACTCTCCTGCACAGATATTTCGTCAACTCATCTTTCTCTTTGTTTCTCTGTGTCTGTCTAATTCTTCTCTTCTCCTTTCTCTAGTCACGATTTGAAGCCGTAATTCCCAAATCCTCCATCATCAATCGATCTCATCTTCTTCTCTTCCTCCTCCTCCTCCTCTTCCTCCTCTTTCTCTCCCCCTTTCTTCGTTCTTCTCCAAACCAATTGAAAAGGAAAGCCCCAACCCAAAGTCTCTTTGAGTTTCTGTGTAGAAAAATCAGGGGGGTACTTAATTTGGAAATCAAACCTCCATTCTTCTCCAAAGCAGCTATTAAACCTCACAGGAAAATTACTCGAATTACATGTAGAAACATAGCAAAACTGCAAGAAAAATACTCTTCCCAACGGTCATGCCGCCCACCAAAATTTGTCCATAAGCAAAATGAAGGAAATGTAAGTAGATATAGTTCAAATTACAACATGCAACCCAACAACACAAATTACTTCAGAAGTCCAGGTAGCCTCAATTATATTTAAAATATGATTCTCCTAGGACAATATAAAAGACTGATTGAAGAATGAGAAGCGAAGCGACTTACATTTGTTAAGTTGACTGAGAAAGAGCGTTACATGTATAAGGTATCCCACAAGAAGCTATTTGTATGAGATTTGATTTCCATTTCACTTGAACTTTGTATGAGATTTCATTTCCATTTCATTTGAACTTTGTATGAGATTTCCATTTATTGGTTGGTCTTAAATCAAGACTCTTGAATCTTGATTGAGGGTTTTGTTGTATTACACTTGATTTATGAACTTTTGCAGATTTTTTACAGTATCAACATTAATACCGAATAATACCGATCCCGTTTGAGTCCAGTATGGTTTGAACGTGTTTTCAAAAACTTTTATCCCGTGTCATCTCATCCCGATTCCCCTATTCAAGATTGACACCGGGATGACTTCCATCTTGTGTCATCTCATACCGTGCCCAGCCCTACAATAGACACATAATTGGCTATTTTTAACAAATTCGTATCCTCAATTTACTGAAAAAATAATCGAGAATGTAAATTGAGAATTATGGGTTAGTTCAGGGGTAAATGCAATTAAGCCTTTATTTTTTATTTTGGGGAGAAGGCCCCTTCTAGAATATACAGGAGTGAGTTGAGTTCTCTCTTCTCCAAAACCCCGACGAGACCAAACCTCTCAAAACCCTAGCATAGTCTCTCATTTGTGGTCCACCTACACCAGCAGAACCAGCCATGGCGCTGAGCTCTCTTCGACTCCGCCGAACCCTCTGCGCCCTCTCAAACCTCCATCGCTCTCTCTCTGCAACCTCTGCACTGTCATTTTCACACTCTTCTTCCTCTCCTATGCTCAATGGCCCCACCTCAGCACAATCGCCTGCATCGCACCCGAAATCCTGGACCCTCCTCCTCCATTCTCGGACGTTCAGGTCGTCCTCGCTCTCTTCTGCTCGATCGGCGCCGTACGACAACAACCAAAACGAGAAGATGGACCCCAATACGGTACTGTTCGAAGGGTGCGATTACAACCACTGGCTCATTGTCATGGATTACCCGCAAACCAACCGGCCTCCGGCTGAGGAGATGGTCAGAACTTATGAGGAAACCTGTGCTAAAGGCTTGAACATCAGGTCACACTCCTTTCCTGGCCCTTCTCTCTCTCTCTCTCTCTCTCTCCCTCTCTCTCTATATGTGTGTGTGTGTGTGTGCGTGTGCGCATATGTTTATGATGTATGTTTTTCTGTGGTAATTTGTTTGGTGGCTAAGAAAATTTGGGGGAAAGGGAAGATTTTGAGTTGAAGTGTTAATTGAGTTGTGGATCCTTGTGCCTTGTGATTGTTTACTGAGAATAGAAGAGTGGAGAAGAACTGGCAGTATCATAACATGAGGTGGTGTTTTTGCCTCCCTCTCTCCCTGTGCGTTTCAGTATCTAAGAATAATAGGGAATTGTACCTTTTATATAGAGAGAATGTGTTCAAATCGAAACTATGTCTGTGTCAGCTTTTGCTACTTTTTGGATATTCAGAATGGATTGTCCTTCGATCGGTTTGGGTATGAATTTTGTAAAGCATATATTTTTGCTTCTTTTTTTTCTTGATTTGTTTAGATGGGCGGTTTTGGGATGTAAGCAAACAGAGCTTGTTGGTTTCGTAAGTGTTGGACAGTTGCATGATACAGAATGAGGAAAGGGATATGTACATGTTAAATAGTGCTCCATGACTATCAAATAGAGTTGCTCTATTAGATAGACTACATTTTCTGGGGGACCCATTATAACGTAGTGGTCACCTAAGGATACTTGAAGCTTTCTTTTTTGTTCATTTTGTTTCCGAACCTCTCACAATATACTTGGTGGTTCATTCTGTTGTAGCTCTTTTACCAATTGTACAATATAATTCTAATTGCTTTTATGGTGCATGTATTATTGGCTATTTATGTATTGATCATCAACTGTTTGCTGGGTGCAATTTTGTCGATGCTACTAGTTTCTTGGACATTTTTTTCAGGCTAGCATTATGTTTGCTGCAGTCTTATATACATTGATTTTGGCTCATCATAAGTTTTTATATATTTTATGATTCAGTGTGGAAGAGGCAAAACAGAAGATGTATGCTTGTAGCACTACAACGTACACAGGCTTTCAGGTCGTAATGTCTGAGGAAGAGTCACAGAAGTTCGAAGGTAAATGTTGATAGCATTGTTACCATTGAGAATGATAGTACTGAGTCCTGTTTCTAACATTTCCATTTTATCTGGAACAGGTTTACCTGGAGTTGTTTTTGTGTTGCCAGATTCTTACATTGACCCACAAAACAAGGAATATGGAGGTAAGGTTTTCGTCCACATGAATGCTTGTTCTTTTTGAGAATGCTGAGTTGCAATTTATCAGCAGATTCAACCAGTTATGGTATTTGGACTGCCTTAAGACTTGTAAAACAATGAGCTGGTCCATCCATATCTAGCAGTTTTGTTCAATTTAAAATTTTTTTCTATATATATCAGGAGACAAATACGTTAATGGTACAATCTATCCAAGACCACCCCCAGTTCATCATGGAAGACAGCAGGGGAGATACAACGATCGTAACAGAAATCCTGACCCACCAAGATACAATAGGCAAGGACCGACGCCTAATCAGCAAGGGAATCCCTCCTATAATATAAAGGGGCCTATGCAAGATAGAGGGAACTATGGACCTTCACAAACTTATGGCTTACAAAGACAAGGAGATAACAGAGGCCCTTTACCAGTGAATACCCCTGGAGGGAGGGATGCGTATCAGCCAGGGAGAGATCCAGTACCTTCATATCAGGGCAATTATAACCAAGCGGGGCAGCAAAATTATCATCCCCAAGAACAAAGGAACTTCCCAGAAGGAGATCAGAGGAATTATGCCCCTCCTGGTCCGGTGGGATTTAGGCGAGATGATAGGAATTATGTTCCCCCACAAACTGAAACTCATGGGCAAGGTTTGGGTGGATTTCAAGGCCAGGGAACAGCTGGAGCTTATGGGCAAGGACCGAACTCTGGAGCTTATGGGCAAGGACCGAGCTCTGGATCTTATAGCCAAGGACCGAACTCTGGAGCTTATGGGCAAGGACCGAGCTCTGGATCTTATGGGCAAGGACCGAACTCTGGAGCTTATGGGCAAGGACCGAACTCTGGAGCTTATGGGCAGGAAGGACTGAGCTCCGGAGCTTATGGGCAAGGACTGAGCCCCGGAACCTTTAGCCAAGGACCGAGCTCCGGAGCCTTTGGCCAAGGACCGAGCTCTGGAGCCTTTGGGCATGAAACAGCAGTAACAGCTTCTGGTAATGGGCAGAGCTACCCTGGGTACGGAGGAGATCAGAGGTTTTCACAAGGGGAGCAGAGGAACGTGCAAGGTGAACAAAGCAACTATGCACCCACAGGACAGACAGGAATTGAGCAAGTAAGAGATCCACTGTTTAGTAATTGAGATGAATCTGACTTTTTTTTGGTCATAAAGATGAAACTTGGACTTATTTGGTAGTATCAGTATAATTTGAAGGCGACACGAAAAAATGAGAGGATTTTGCTGGGAAATTTTAGATGGCTCATGGTGGTTGTTTTTGCAGGGGAGGTATTGATGACATGCCAATCATGACAATGCGAGATGGGATGTAGGAAGGAGTTTTATCAATCATTTGCCCCTCGTGTTTGATCTGATTTGAAGGGAGATTGCTTGACCTTCTGAACTCTTTCCATGGTACATAATCTGTCAAATTTTCTTGTGCGCATCATTTTTTTTTTCCTAGTGAAATCAGAACTTTTAGCTTTCCTCGTTTGTTTTACGAGCTTGAACTTGAATTTTGCTCCTAATGAAGTATGCGAATGTAATGCGTGCCAATGGTGTTATATTTTAGTTTTGGAAATGGCTATTGGTTCCTAGTGAAGTATATTCTTTTCACCTAGAAATTAAATGTAGCACATTGAATTACTTGGTAGTTCAGTTACCCAAAAATAACGACAATAATCCCAGAAAATGCACTAGAAAGAAACCAATGTGTCTAAAGATCCCGCTGGTGCTTAAACAATTTGTCTTCTTAATACTTCACCTGCAGACTATTTTGGAACAGTGACCTTATGTCCATTTACAAAATCGCTATCGCCTTCAGAATGAAATCATTTGAGATTGAAACGTACAATATGTAGTTTTTACCTCGGAGTACGTTATTCATAACAATGGTACGATGTGGCCTACTAAGAACCATTAGATGATTTTAATCCTTGAGGTTTTATTAAATGCACCAAAATGCATACTTGTTAAATGTAGAGGTAGGGACGGGGCTATGAGATTTTAAGGGTTCTGTGTGAAATAAGCAAAGGGGCTTCTTAAAACAGTCACTTAATTAGAGATTGAGTCAAACAAGCACAATACACAATTCTTTAAGCATGTCTTGGCCATATTAGAATGGCCTCATTGAGTTAGAGATTTTTTTTCGACTATGATAAGTGAACCGAAAAACTGAAATAGATATGGAGAGTACGACTTCGAATTGAGAATTTATTATGTGGGATTAAAAGTTAAAAGGAAGATTTCAGAATGACACAAATATAGAAGGAGCTTAAACAAGAATGACCCAAAAGAAATTAGGGTTGATGTTTCGGTCCTTTTATTGGACGCCATCAACGACTTTATTAGACCCTAACATCATTTCATATAGAAGGAGCTAAGCATCAACCCATTTATCATCTTCATGGTTCAACTTTCGTGCTCTAATTCGGAAATGGCGTCAGGTAAAGTCGTTGGCCTCGGAATCAAGAATGATCTTGTCGCCAACTTTGAGCCCTTTGTGATCGACAAATTTGAGGCAGTCCTCGGGTTGAAGAACAGGCCTCCGGTAACGCCCCATCTTGATAGTGGAACATCAAAACTCCCAATAAAACTCGAACCCGTCCGAAACATAAATCTTGACCTCATGGCTTCCTAGTTCGAACGGAGGCAGTGTCCCAAGCCAATCAATCGGAAGGGACAATCTGCTCACTATATATGTTTCTGTAAGGCATTTCTCAAAGCCCATTGCTTTATTGATGAATCTGCGCACTGTAATTCTAGTGCATTTATGAGGACAGGGCCAGGGGTATATAAGGAAATATATAAAGTTTGACAATGAGTAATTTCCCCAGCAAACCCTTTACTAGCTAGCTACTCTTGTCAGCTTATAAGCTTCACAGCAGTAACAACGTAGAAACAGAGAAGAAACAAAGAAAAAACAGAGGAGGAAGCAGAGGAATGCATGACAAGATGCCATATGATTTGCTAGTTCATATATTTCCTTATATACCCCTGGCCCTGTCGTCCTCATAAATGCACTAGAATTACAGTAAGCAGATTCATATTCAATAAAGCAATGGCGGTCCGCTTTGAGAAATGCCTTACAGAAACAGATGTAGTGAGCAGATTTGCCCTTCCGATTTCCTTGCTTACGGTGCTGCCTCGAATTGAACAAGGAAGCCATGGGGTCAATATTCAGGTTACAGACGGGGATGTTTTTTTGGGAATTTTGCTGCTCCATTCGAAGGGTGGGACGGTACCGGAAGCCGGTTCTTCAGTCGGAGGGATGGCTCAAGTTTGTCAACTTCAAAGGGCTCAAAGTTGGCGACAAGATCGTTCTTTATTCAGAGGCCAACGATTTCAGAGGAACCCAATTCAGAATTAGAGCACAAAAGTTGAACAAAGAGTGTGATCGGTGGCTTGATGTTTAGCTACTTGTATGAGTTCATGTAAAGTTTTTCTACACTCAGAATATGATGTATGAGTGAATTAATGATGAGTTTTCTGTTGTAATTAATTACTTAATTATGATCTCATCAAGTGTTCTTTCTGGCCTTTTCTTTATGGTATCTTTCAGTTTGAAATTAAGCTCTTATTATGGATGAACTAATTTGGTCATGTACTAGTTGATTAACTAGCCGTCATGATTAGGGGTGGGCATCTTAAACCGAAATACCGAAACCGTACTGTACGATACCGATTTCATACCGTTTCATTTTGCATGGGGAGATATTCGGTACCGTACCGTACCGTACCGTACCAATATAGTATGGTATGGTAGTGGTATCAAGATTTTGGTACCGATCAATACCGTACCGAATAGAATAAGTAAAAAAAAAAAAAAAAAAAAAAAAAATTTCATTCTCTCGCTGTGTTTGTATTTTTTTAAGTCATAAGGCATAATTTTAACTATTTTGGTTTGTAAGTCATAAGGCATGAGTTTTAACTATTTGGATATGATGAATATGTTGATGGATAAATATTGATTTGGTTGATTTGGATATTGAATATGTTGATTAGGATTTGGATATTGAATATGTTGAATCTTTGAATTTGTAACTTAGGCATCACTTATTTTGGTGAATGAATATGTTGAATATTGAATTGGTTCATTTTTTAGTTGTCATTTTGGTACCAATACCATACCGATACCGATTTGGCACGGTACGGTACGGTACCAATTTTGACAAACAATAATCTCATACCGTACCATAACGATTTAAATTTCCGGTATCGGTAGCGGTACAGGCTCAATACCGTATCATACCGTACTGTGCCCACCTCTAGTCATGATCATAAAGTATTAATTAATTAAAAGTTAATGGACTAATAAAAATTTAAAAGTAAACTACTTTTGCAATTTGTTGTGGGATTAAGAGTTAAAAGGAAGATTTCAGAATGACCCGAATGTTTATTAAGAATACTACAAATGTAGAAGGAGCTAAACAAGAGTGACACAAAATAAAAAAGGGTTGATGTTGGGTCCTTTTATTGGACGCCTTCAACGACTTTATTGGACCCTAACATCATTTCATATAGAAGGAGGAGCTAAACATCAACCCATTTATCATCTTCATGGTTCAACTTTTGTGCTCGAATTCTGAAATGGCGTCCAATAAAGTCGTTGGGCTCGGAATCAAGAATGATCTTGTCGCCAACTTTGAGCCCTTTGTGATCGACAAATTTGAGCCAGTCCTCGGGTTGAAGAAAGGGCTTCCGGTAACGCCCCATCCTGATAGTGGAACATCGAAACTCATAAAACCCGAACCCGTCCGAAACATAAATCTTGACCTCATCGCTTCCTTGAGGCAGTATCCTATGCCATTCAATCGGGAGGGACAATCTGTCCACTGTATCCGTTTCTGTAAGGCATTTTTCAAAGTGAGCCGCCATTGCTTATTGATATAGTGAGAAGAAGCAATGCTGCCCGCTATGCATATTTATAGGACAGTGCCATACAACTTGCAAGGGGTATTTAAAGAAGTATCAATCAAGTATCTTATTTGATGATAATGCTTTTTGCTTACAAAAAAGAAATGTTATGAGATTCAAAGTCGGTCCAAACAAACTCTTTGCAGGCAACAGCTTATATCCTGCATGCATTGACTAAAAGGTCGTCCATGGTCTTATTATTTCAAACCTTTGGCCCACGACACGTGCTAATAACTCTTTTCTTTTGTTGGGTTTTTTCTTCTTTTTTCAATGGATGTGTGGATGAATTATGTACGCACAAAAAAAATTATATTATATAAGTTTCTGGCTTAACCTAGATGTAGAAATTAGACGACAAAGTGCATGTCAGCCACATGCTGTCCTCCTTCACAAATTGAAGCTTCGAAAACGACTGAAAAATATATATTGCATTATTAGTAAGCTTTGCACGATCTCAGGAGCCCAAATTGCTCACATATCAAATTCTATTTTTGGTCTTTTTCCAAACCTGAGGGCCTACTTTTGATGCATGACTTCTACGATTCAGATATCAAATGAAACTTCTAAAGTTTTTTGTTTTTTTTGTTTCCTTCAAAAGAAACAAAAAATAATAATAGAGAAGATCTTTATCATATCAAAACGGATCTTTTAAAGTTGTAAATTTAAAATTGAAGTTAGAAGAGCCCAACTAACTGAGCTCCACTGTCATAATGGTACAAATGTTTAACATAAAAAGCTTTTTTATAAAAGTTGGCATTGAGTTCTCTTTCTAACAATGATATTTAACGACTCGTTTTTTTTAAGACTTTTGCCTTTGTAACATGTCAAGACACACCCAATGTCTGAGCGAAAACTATCAAACCAAATACAAGTATTTAACAAAGAATGAGCTTTTTTTGACAAAATGTTTGTTAGTTTGATTAGTTTTTATGTAGAAATACTATATAGAAAATCGATTAAAACCTTGTAAAAGATGTCAAATATCCTATAAAACAATTGATGATCACGATTCACGACATATGATATGACTATTAATGTTTAGTTATTTCATCAATTTTTTTGAACCAATGAAAAAAGTAAAGTTGGGAAAAAAGCTGACGACTGAGATAGTGACGTGGGTTTTCACACCTCACTCCTCCATCAGCAGCATGCCCGTTTTGTATTTTTGTCAGCGCATGTAAAGGGAAACACGGCAGTCATGATTGAGATTTGATGGGCCCAAACTGCCATTCACTGCGCTTTGTATTCTTCCCAACTTTCGGCTGTATTCATTAATACATTTTTTAATGTTTAGACTTTAGAATAACATTATTAAATAGTACAATGATTAACTATATTCATTAAATAATTTGGAGTGATGACGTGGTAATAAACTTTATCTTCAATACAAAAATAGATAGTCTAAACTACACAAGAGATGAGGTTTTCTCTCATGCATACGCACTATCAAAGTGTTATTAGAATTCGAACTTGAGATAACTGATTTGCAAGTCAGAGGTCTTTCTCTATTGAGCTAAGGCCCCGCTGACAGCAATAAGCTTATTAACTCTAACTTCTGTTGACGCAGAAAAATGGTTCTGCACTTTCCCTCGCAACTTAGTGATTAAGTCTCCTCGGTATCTGATGTCCTCGGTAGGGTGTACGATCTGTAAGATAACAAATACACGGTAAATCCTAGGGCACCGGTGTGGTACCGGCCGAAGGCTCTCCGATGCTTAAGTAAGTACGGATTTAGTAAGTTTTAACTGCAGATCAATAGGCAGTATGCCGTAAGTTCTGATTGATTACCTTCAAGCTGGGATGGATGTCCTCTTTTATAGGCCTTGGGAGGTGTGCAATTTATTGAGAGTTTCGATGTGGGACTCTGGGCGTCAGTTGTGAGGCTGCCACGTGTCAGAGTGGGCGAGGTTGCCCTAATGTTGCGATCGGTAGTCATGGTACCGAAGGTGAGTCCCGAAGGCACACGTAGCCCTGGCTTAGTCCACGTGGTTGATATTCATTGGGTGTTCATTTTGGTATAAACAGGAGTCCCCCAAGTCCCCTTGCGAGAGTCTTTGGAAGGGGATTTGAAGTCGTCCTCGGGAGGAAACACGGCCTTACCGTTCGGTAACCCCAATGGGGGAGGGGCAAAAACCTTGTTCCTTCCGGCATGTCCAGCTCAGAGGCTGACGTTGGTGAAGTCAGAAGGTCGCGTCGATCTGACGGGCGAAGAGACGTCTGAGCGCTTCGACTTCCGCGCCTCGCGTGCCGTCAGTTCTCCATTGGGTGAGCGACACGTGGCGAAAGTAATGATGGCGCGCGGCGCATTAATGCGCCGTTTGGTTTTTCGAGGGATACCGTTGTCGAACTCCCCACTATAAATAGGGATGACCCCGGTGGCGAATTCACTTTGCATCTTGTGAGAAGTGAGAGCTCTGTCCGAGGCGATTTCCGACGAGTACCAACGGTAGGAAAAGCGATTTCCGACGAGAGCTAACGGTAACCGGGCGATTTCCGGTGAGAGCTAACGGTAGGAGTGGCGATTTGTGTCCAGGTGATCTGAAGCAGTCCGCGTTCACTTCCAGAAACCAAACAAAGGTACCGTTCGGTAGCCCTACCTTTCCTCTCTTTTACGTACCTTAAGAGTTTACGTCCTTCCTTGGTTTGAACTAGACTGGCCATAGGGTTCCATTTGGTAGTCCAGTCGCCATAGGTGGTGATGTAGGGATCGGTAGGATAGCATCCGGCATGAGCCTTAGTTTCCCATTTTTCCCTGTTTTTGTAGATGTCTGATAGCGAGTCATTTTCCGAGCGCGAGCCCAATGCGTTTGACGAGGAGTCATCGGACGGTCTCTTTGACTCCGATGTTGAAGCGGTAAGGCCTGATGCCGAGGAGGGGAGCGATACCGATGTCGAGATACTCGGCGAAAGGCCTAGCCCAGTTCCCACACATGGCATCGGGAAGGGGCTTATGACCGCTCCGGTACCGTTGTCTATCGTATATAGCGACGGTCGCCACGTGGGGCTTGGTGCCCCTGGGGAGGCGAGCGGTAGCCACCGGCCAGAGGCTTCCACTTCCGGCCGGGGTGAGGCGGCTACCGAACCATCCAACCGGCCGAGGGTATCCGTAGTCTACCCCGGCAATCCTAGGGTGCCGATGGGGGTTCCGAAGGAGCTCGTCTTCGGGGTGGATTATCTGGAGCCCAACAGGATCATCGAAAAGGAGATCGCGAAGTTCCGGGCGGAGTACTTCATCCCTGATTCGGTAGGTATGAGGATTCCACTTCCTACCGAATCCTTAAGCAGTCCGAAGGACGGCGAAGTCGTCTTTTTCACGGACGTACTTCTGCAGGGGGTGAGGCTTCCTCTGCAGCCTGCCGTTCAGAGGATTCTGGCGCAGATCGGTTACGCTCCCGGCCAGTTCAATCCCAACTTCTGGGTGGCGCTGATGGCGGTAGTCACGGCCTTCGGTATGGCTGGGGAGGGAGAACCTTCGTACGAGCAGTTCTCCCACCTTTACAGTATCACGAAGTCAAAGTGTGCCGATCACGGAGGCTGGGTCCAGGCCAATTGTCTGAAGGCTGCCGAGCGTGGTCACTTAGTTAACGCCGTCCCGACCTCGCAGAAGACATGGAGGAAACGGCGGGTGCTTTTGTCTGGTGACTGGGAGTCGCCCTCGGGACACCCCGTCCGTTTCCATATTCCAACGACGTTCCAAATCGCTGGTAGGCTATCCTACCGTTCGGTAGGGCTTATAGGGTTTGCTCTCCTTGTTATAAAGCTGATACCGTTTGGTTTTGTGCAGGCAAGTTGAAGCAGCCGAGCACCACACAAGCGGAGGTCCGGCAGATCGAAAGGGTCAGGCTGAAGGTTCCTGCCGTTGAGAGGGTCTACCCGAAGTTTCTCTTCACTACCAATCTCCTCAAGGCCCGGCTCGTCAACCCTGCCGAGAGTAAGTATACTTCCCCATTTTGATAGTAAAGAATATGTATCGACGAATCTGACCGACTCCTTCTTGCAGTGACCGAAGAGAGAAAAGCCGCCGAGGTGAAGAGGATGAACGAGTCCTCGAAGAGACGCCTCATGCTCGGCATGCAAGGGAAAAAGAAAAGTCGGCAGGCCTCAACGGCACCGGTGCCTTCGGGAGGCGTGGATCCTGACGATCTGACACTCCACGAGCGTCATCGCCAGATGCAGGCTGAGTCGGTGCGTGCCGAAGCTACCGAGGCTGGTCCATCCCCCGGCCGAGTTCCGCCTACCGAGGGCACCTCCTCCAAAGCGGCAGGCAAGAGGCCGTTTACTGTGGACGTTGATGCCGACTCCGCTCCGAAACGCGGGCGACAAACAGAGCCTGCACGGGCCGTCTTCTCTGCCGAGGACGACGAGGCGCCTTCTGAAGCTGTGACCCTGGCCTGTCCTTCGAAGACGGTACAGTTTGTGAACCATATGATCCTCGGTTCACAGATGGAGCTGTCGGAGATCGAGGACCTGCCGAAGAAGCTGCTTCGGGAGGAGGCTGGTCGCGCCTTCCGTCTTCAAGCCTCGGTAAGTGCCTTTTGTTTTCGGCGTTTCCTTGTCATTCAGTTTTCTTTTCATCTGACATTTTCTTTTGCTGTGCAGGCTTCAATGGACATGTGGCTCTGCGTTAAGCGGGCCATCAATGCCGCTGAGAAGGCGAAGAAGTTATATGAAGACGGCAGGGCGAAGGTTGCCGAAGCTGGCAAGGCAATCCAAGCCCAGGCAAACTTGGCCAAGGACATGCAGGCTGCCGAACGGCAGGTAAAGGTTTATCAGGCCAAGCTTGGCGAGATGTCGGCGGCATTGGAGGCGGCTCAGCTGACGGCAAAGGAGGCTCTGGAGTCGAAGGAGGCGATCCAGGTGGCCTTCGAGGAGTCCGAGCGTGCCAGGGCTTCCGAGATCGAGGCTGCCGTTCAGAAGGCGATTCAGGGCTACCGTCGGTCTACCGAGTTCTCTACTTTGCTGGACAAGGAGGTAGGATCGGAAATGGCGGACCTGCTCTACCGTTTCAAGCGGTACAACCCTGGAAAAAAGCTCAGCCTTAACTTCATCGCTGATCCCCCCCCTTCCTGAGGGCATAACCGAAGAGATGATCGAGGAGTACGAGGGGGAGGACGTGACAGAGGAGGTCCCAGCTGAACCCGAAAGGATAACTGCCGAAGCCGATGGTGCTGCCCCTGATGCCGACGAGGCTGCCGCCTGATGGAGGGTCCCGTCAACAGCTGCCTTTGTTTCCAAATTTTAATGTTCTGAACCTTAATGCCGAGGGCATCTTTTATGTATTTTTGACTTTAAATTTGATGCCGTAGGCATCTCTGTAATTCTGTTGCAACTTTAATGCCGTTGGCACTTTGTTTTAGATAATTAATTACGTTTTCATTTTAAGTTATTCGCAACTTACTTTTAAATCGGTAGCGTTTTTAGGAAATCTTTCTGTTTAATGCCGAAGGCTTTTAAACAAAGGTCATTGGCCGTTGGCCAGTGACGTTTCCTTTTACGCAGGGAGTTCCAAGTGTTATGGAATTGAAAACCAATGCGCGTGCTTGCCCAATAAAGTTTACAAAGTTGTCCTTTAATCGGTAGGATAATGGCGATGCCAAAATGCGTAGTTTGCTGCGACCGATGGTCCCTACCGTGCCCTTTTTTTTGAACAAAAAATGGAGAGATTTGAAAGGTACAACAAAGGTGCCAAATATGTGAGCCGAATGCCCTTTTATTGATAAACTGCCGAAGGCGAGATTACAATTATGAGCGCGTTTTACAATATAAAACCCGCCGTTGGCTTGGTAACGCTATAATACTAACGGCTTTTGTGACTCCTCCGTGACCCTGCCGTAGGCAAGGTGACTTCATTTGAAATAGTACTTCAAATGCTCTACGTTCCAAGGATGACCGAGGGTCTTTCCGTTGGAGTCTCTGAGTCGGTAAGTCCCCGATCGCTGGATACCGATGATCTCGTAGGGTCCCTCCCAGGAAGGTCCGAGGGTTCCTTCCGTGGGATTCTTGGTTGCCAGGGAGACTTTCCGCATAACCCAATCTCCGATTCGGAAAGAGCGGGATTTGACCCTGGAATCATAGTACCGAGAGACGCGTTGCTTGTAAGCTTCGTTCCGAAGGTTGGCTTGTGCTCTGCGTTCCTCGAGTAAGTCGAGGCTCAAGGCCAGTGCTTCCTCATTTGCCTTCGGTGCGAAGGTTTCCGTTCGGTAGGAGGGCTCTCCGATCTTTACTGGGACTACTGCCTCTGAACCGAAAGCCATGGAGAATGGTGTTTCCCCAGTTGCCGTTCGGTAAGATGTCCGTATGGCCCATAGCGCCTCCGGAAGCTTTTCTGGCCACGCTCCTTTGGCTTTGTCAAGCTGCCGTTTCAATAGCTTCTTGACAATTTTGTTCATGGCTTCGACCTGTCCGTTCGATTGGGGGTGTGCTGGCGAAGCAAAGAACATGTTGATCTTGAGTCGTTTGCAGAATTGCCGGAAGACTTCCGAATCAAACTGCCTGCCGTTATCCGTGACAATGGCGTAGGGGATGCCGAATCGGCAGCAAATATTTGTCCAGACGAAATCCTCGACTCTGGCTGCCGATATCGTCGCTAGTTCCTTGGCTTTTACCCATTTGGTGAAGTAGTCTACGGCCACAACAGCGTATTTTACCTTACCCTTGCCCTCTGGCATCGGACCGATTAGGTCCAGTCCCCATTGGGCGAACGGCCATGGGCTCACGATCGGTGACAGTGGCTCGGCGGGAATGTGAGGGACGCTACCGAACCGTTGGCATTTGTCACACCTCTTGACTAGCGTGTTCGCATCCTGATGCAGAGTCGGCCAGAAATAACCCTGCCGGAAGACCTTGTGTGCGAGCGATCGGGAACCAGAATGGTCCCCGCAGATTCCGCTGTGGACCTCCCGAAGGATGTAGTCCCCTTGCTCCTTGGTCAGGCATTTTAAATACGGCGTCGTGTAGCCCCGTTTGTACAGAACATCGTTGATGACTGTGTATCTTGCCGAACGGTAGAGAAGTTTCCGAGCTTGCGACTTATCGGCAGGGAGGGTTCCGGCTGTCAGATAGGCATAGATTGGAGACATCCAGGTCTCCTCGTACCGAACGGTACATACCTCAACGGCGGTTGTACTTGGTTGGGATAGTATCTCCACCGGTACCTTCCTTCCGATCTTGTCATTTATTGCCGAGGCTAAACGTGAGAGTGCGTCGGCATGGCTATTTTCCGACCTGGGAATCTGCCGTATCTCGTAGGCCTGAAATTTGTAGTAGTTGGTGGGCTGCCGATAGGTAGGCTGACATGGAGGCATCCTTTGTTGCGAAGTCTGCCGTTATCTGGTTTACTATGAGCTGGGAGTCGCTGTGGATGCTGATCTGCCTCGCGCTCATGCTCTGGGCTAGCCGAAGGCCGGCCAAGAGGGCCTCATATTCTGCCTCGTTATTGGAGGTTCGGAAGTTGAATCGGAGGGCGTACTCGATTTTACTACCGTCCGGAGTGGTTAACACTAAGCCGGCACCACAGCCTTGTTGGTTTGCCGAGCCGTCCACGTGCAGGATCCAGAGAGGAACAGAAGTGTTGAAACGTTCGGTATTCATTTTTTCTGGTGCGGTAGGGACGACGCTCGGCGATGATGGTTCCGATAAAGCAGGCGGTGTGTGCTCGGAGATGAAGTCGGCAACGGCCTGGTCTTTTTCTGCAGGCCTTGGTTTGAACTGTATGTCAAACTCTCCCAACTCGATTGCCCATTTGACCAATCGGCCAGATGTTTCCGGCTTTTGGAGCACCTGTCGAAGGGGCTGGTTCGTCAAAACCGTGATTTCGTGAGCCTGGAAGTAGGGGCGAAGTCTTCGTGCCGAGACGACCAGAGCCAGTGCTAGCTGCTCTAAGGGTGGGTATCGAAGCTCTGCGCTCTGGAGCGCCTTGCTGACATAAAAGATCGGTAGCTCCGCCTTCTCCGGCTTCCTTATCAACACCGAGCTGACGGCAGTGTTGGATACCAAAAGGTATAGAAGTAGTACCTCGCCTGGCAGGGGTTTTCGATAACAGTGGTACTTGGCTCATGTAGTTCTTCAAGTTTTGAAATGCTCGGTCGCATTCGGGAGTCCATGTTGTATGATGTTTGCCCCTTTCAAGCTTTGAAGAACGGTACGCATTTATCGGTAGCCTTGGAGATGAAGCGTGTCAAGGGCAGCGACACGTCCGGTAAGGCTCTGAATGTCCTTCTGCGTCTTCGGGGTCTCCATGTCGATTATGGCTTTTATTTTCTCGGGATTGGCCTCGATTCCCCTTTGACTGATCATGAAACCGAGAAATTTTTCGGAAGATACACCGAAGGCGCACTTCGCCGGGTTCAGCCTCATTCGGTAGTCCTTTAGAATACCGAACATGAGGGCCAAGTTTTCCAGGTGATCCCCTGCCGTTCGGCTCTTTACCAACATGTCGTCAACATAAACCTCCATGATGCCGCCGATGTATTTAGCGAAGATCCGGTTGACGAGCCGTTGATAAGTTGCCCCCGCGTTCTTCAGGCCGAAGGGCATGACGTTGTAACAGTACAAACCGCGATCCGTGATGAATGCCGTATGCTCTCTATCGGCAGGGTCCATGAAGATCTGGTTGTATCCTGAATACGCGTCCATGAAGCTGAGCAGCTCGTGCCCGGCGGTGGCATCGACGAGCTGGTCAATCCTCGGTAGGGGGAAACTGTCCTTCGGACAAGCCTTATTCAGGTCGGTATAATCCTGACACATTCGCCATCCTCCCCTGGCTTTCCGAACCATGACTGAGTTGGCCAGCCAAACAGGGTACGTAGCTTCCCTGATAAAGCCGATGGCTTTGAGCTTGTCAACTTCGGCCCGCATTGCCTCGTACCGTTCGGCATCGTACGATCGGCGCTTTTGCCTGACTGGTTTGTGGGCGGGGGAGATGCTGAGCTTGTGGCTGATGACGTCGGGTGATATGCCGGGCATGTCGTCATAAGACCAGGCGAAGACCTCCGCATGCTGCCGTAAGAAGTCGATGAACTGCCTTCGGAGGTCGGGGTCCAGATTGGTGCCGATCTTTACCCACCGATCGGGGAATTCCTTGTTCAGGATTATGGTCTCCAGCTCCTCGGCGGGCTGTGCCATTGGCGTTGGGTTTTCCTCCCGGGGGTCGTCAATGGGTTCGTTACCGTTCGGTAGTCCCTGCAAGGTCATGGCTTCCATTGGCGGTTTGTTGGCTACCGACTTAAGGGCCGTGGCATAGCACGTCCGTGCGCTGAGCTGATCTCCCCGGATGGCTCCGGTACCGTTGCGTGTTGGGAACTTCATTAGCAACATGTGTGTGGATAGGTGGGCTTTGATCCTGGTGAGTGCCGTTCGCCCTATGATAACGTTGTATGCCGTTGGGCAGTCAACAATGAGGAATTGGTCGTAGGTCATGGTCTTCCTGGGGGCCACGCCGAAGGCGATGGGCAGACTGATGCTACCGACCTGTTGCACTATATCTCCAGAGAAACTGAGGAGATGCGTGATTTGCCGATTGACCATGCTGTCGGCAATCCCCAGTCCTCTGAACGCATCGGCAAAGATTACGTTTACCGAGCTTCCGGTGTCAATCAGCACCCGACCCACGTCGTAATCGGCGATCTCGGCCCGAATGATCATTGGGTCGTCGTGGGGGTAGATGATCCCCTCCTCCTCTTCTTCACTGAACGTGATGGGCTCCCATCCCACCTTTGACAACTTTCGGCACCGATCCTCCGCTATGCCGAAGACCTGAGGGCAGTGGGCGGCGCGCACATACTGCTTCGCCGAGCGGTTGGAGGGTCCCGCCAGGGTGGGGCCACCGCTGATCGTGTTGATCATGTTGATCTGCCGATTCGCATTCGGTGCCGGGGCCTGTGGCGGCCTGGCAAGGTACTGATCCAACTTCCCTTCCCGAATCAGGCGCTCGACAATTTTCCTTAGACTGATGCAGTCTTCGGTATTGTGGCTGTTCTGCTGGTGATATCGGCAGAATTTGCCAGTATCCCGATTATCCTGCCGATTGGGCTTCCGGTTGGTCGGCTTCGGGATCTGGTCGTGTTCGTTCATTAGAACGGTCTCGTACGTCGTGTTCAGCAGGGTGAAGACTTCCTGAGCACGATCGTGATTCGGTAGGGGTGCCCGGTGGTCGTTACGACCGTACTTCCCACGTCCTTTCTTTGAATTTCCCTACCGGTTATCCCGGTCGTCCTTCCGTTTGTGTCCTGCCGACGGTTCGTCGGTTCGGCCTGGATAGCTTTTGGCTGCCGATTCCTCCTTCCGAGCCGAAGGCCCGGGTTTGGAGTTGAAGTATTCGGCCTTCGCATGGACTGCCGCCTGCTTCATTAACTCGTCATACGTGCGCCAATTGCTACTGTGCACGAGATACCGGAAGTGAGAGGACCGTAGGCCACTCTTGAAGGCGCCGTAGGCTGCCCTATCGTCCGTCTCGGGACACCTCGAGTACTCGTGACTGAAGCGCGCTGCGTATTCCCGTAGGGGTTCGTCCTCCCTTTGCCGAATCGTGTACAGGTCGTCGGCAAAGTACAACCGGTCCGTCTGGATCATGAAGTGGTTGAGGAAAATCTGCTTCAGTTCGTCGAAGGAATGTACCGTCCCTGGCTCGAGACGGTAGAACCAGTTCAGCGCAGCTCCGGTAAGGGACGAGGGGAACAGCAGGCATTGTCCCTCGTCGCTAAGGCCCTTACATCCAACTGCCGATTGGAAAGAGTGGAGGTGCGTCAGAGGGTCCTCCACACCGGTATAGAAGGGTATGCGCAGCGGCTGCACCTCCCTGTCCGGTCTGGACCTCTTGATGCGCTCGGTAAAGGGCCCGGGTCGAAGTTTTCCCCAGTCAGGGACCTGGGATCGGGTTCGGTCTTCCTCCATCTTCTGGATTCTTTGGAAAAGTAATCGGATGGTGGGGTCTCGGCTGGGGACGTCCTCGGAACCAAAGTCCTCGGAAGCTTTCCTTGGACTTGGTGATCTCGCCTTCAAATACTCCGGGGGAGCTTCCGAACGGTAGCTCGATTCGGTGTCCCTGGTGGGGATGTACTCATCGTCGGATTCCTGCGCCGAATCCAAACCCTGAGCCCTCCGAAGGGGCGACTTATCCCCCAAGACCCTCATCCGGGAGTCCCTCAAGTTGGCGTTTAGTCTGATTGGGGACCTATGCCGTTCGGCATCCTTCTTGTCGTTGATCCGATGACGACAGTCGGTGTATACCTTCTTCGGTACGTGCGGTTGGTCCTGGGGTGCCGGGACTACCAGCTGCTTGGAAGGCGCAGGCGTTGCCTTTGCCCCCTGTTTTCCTTTCCTCTGCCGACCGGGGGTCTGCTGACTCTGGGAAGATTCGGTGCTCCGAACGTTTTGCGTTTCCTGCTCATTAAGCAACCGTTGGGTTTCGTCCACTTTAGACGAGAGGAGATTGTTACGTTCTTGGAGTTTAGCCATCTCCTTTCGGAGGGAGGTCATCTGAGCCAAAAGCTCCGCTTCTACCGTGGTTTGAAGCGCAGGTGGATTACCGAAGGGGGTGCTAGGGTGCAGCGCGGGGCTTGCTCCACTTGGCATACCGTACGGTAATCCATCCTCTGATAGGAACTGTTGTCCTGAAGTGGTTCCCATTTGTTTTGTTTAGGAATTGTAGGTTGATTATATCGATTTCCCACAGACGGCGCCAAACTGTTGACGCAGAAAAATGGTTTTGCACTTTCCCGCGCAACTTAGTGATTAAGTCTCCTCGGTATCTGATGTCCTCGGTAGGGTGTGCGATCTGTAAGATAACAAATACACGGTAAATCCTAGGGCACCGGTGTGGTACCGGCCGAAGGCTCTCCGATGCTTAAGTAAGTACGGATTTAGTAAGTTTTAACTGCAGATCAATAGGCAGTATGCCGTAAGTTCTGATTGATTACCTTCAAGCTGGGATGGATGTCCTCTTTTATAGGCCTTGGGAGGTGTGCAATTTATTGAGAGTTTCGATGTGGGACTCTGGGTGTCAGTTGTGAGGCTGCCACGTGTCAGAGTGGGCAAGGTTGCCCTAATGTTGCGATCGGTAGTCATGGTACCGAAGGTGAGTCCCGAAGGCACACGTAGCCCTGGCTTAGTCCACGTGGTTGATATTCATTGGGTGTTCATTTTGGTATAAACAACTTCTAACCCAAATAAAATTAAAATGAGACTCATCATCCTTTATTTAATCACAATTATACAAGACTAGAAGAACAACATAGCAAAATCAGTGGCCTCGATATATATTTTTCTTTTTAGCTTAAACATAGTAGTTTCATTATATTAAACTAAAATAATAAAACCATAACAAAACAAAAACTTCATCTTATTAGAAGAATTAAATGTTTTCTTGAAGGAAGTGTTCTATTAGTCAGATGTTTGTTAAAAAAAAAAAAAAAAAAAAAAAAAAAAAAAACAATTTCTTTACATATAAAATTGTTTTTACAACAACAATAAATAAATAAAATTTAATTTCCATAGAAAGATGTCACATTGTATTTAGTGTACGGAAGTAATTCTCAGAAGATAGAATCACAAAGGTTGTTCATTTAATCCATCAATATTCAATATAGCGGTTTCTTTATGATTTCCAGAAGTAATTCTCTCTTCTATTAAGTTTTTTTAATTCCAAGTTCATAAACATCTCAACAACGGCAAAGCTAATTCTTGTTTCTTTGTTTTCTGTAGGCCCTTTTTTTCCTGAAAGTAATTACCATGCATTGATTTTGCAGCTGGACATACAACCCAAAATACTAATGTCTTCCAAGGAGAGATCAAAATAAGAACTAGGTCACCCCTTCATGATACGTTTTTCTCAAGTAAACCCAAAACGGCAACAATTAGAAAGGAACATCATCAGGTTAAGCTAAAACAAAATATAAAAAGGAACTGTATTCCTGCAAATAATCCTTTCGGCTTTTTTTGAAGCTTCAAATAATCATTTGAAACTAATTACGCAATAATCCTTTGAAAATTATAAATTAATGACAATGACCTAATTAATGAGTATTATGGCCAAATTATTTGATCCATTTGACTAGTTTTTCTTTTTTGTGTTGCAAGTTTTTTTTTTGGGTAGTCACCACTAGGGTTGCCCACTTGCAACCTGTGAAAAGGACAATTTTAGAATAAAAATTTATAAATAAACCCAATTCTAGACATGTATTTATAAAAAAAACTCAAGCACTATTTAAACATAGAAACACACCCAAAATCAACCCTAAAGTCAACTTTTTGGGTGTGTTTATAAATGGGTTTTGAGTGTGTGTAATGATAGGTTTTGAGTGTGTTTATATGTTTAAATAGTGCTTGGGTTTTTTTATAATTTCAACCCCCATTTTGGGTGTTTTAGTGAAACTCCCATTTTAGAATTCACCTCTCTAACCTACATTTTCTGGTTGGTGATAATTCACCAACTTGTCCCCAACTTGGAGGCCTTTGGCATTGACAAACTTGAGCCAACCCTCGGATTGAAGAACAAAATATGGCTCAAAATATAAGTGCACGGAAAACCCAAATGAAAGAAGCACAAGAAACCCACATCGACAAAGTAGATAAATTTGATACTTGAGATGGACACCACACGATCAAATTGAGATAGTTGCAGAGAATGTGGCCGGTATATCTAGACATAATTCTTATGGTAGATTTGAACATTTTGCAAAACTGATCACTCAGCTCAGCACTAGTGTTGATGATGGTTTTTTTAATACATACAAGCAAGCGATATTGAAATCTCGGATGCATGAAAAAATGCTTTTAAGTTAGAAATTGATTTAACTTTTGAGAGATTAATTAGAGGTGAAGGGCAGAAAGTGGAAGGATCAACAGGAAGAAAACACCAAAAACAACCATCAACACGTGACGTGGGCCTATGACTTTTGAATTGGTCGGTGGTCGATGTTAAGTTGATAACATCTATTATCCAAGTTGAAAAAATTAAGCCTGCCCATTAAATTAAATTAAATTAAATTAATTAGCATCTATTATATAATCTTTAGTTTCGCACTAACGCCATCCTGACTGATCACGAATTTGACTTTTGATCAAAAGGCAGATATCACAGTTTAAGTATCAAATTAATATAATCTTTTGTTTGTTTAATCATATAACAAACAACACCCGAACCCCCAACAAGTATCAAATCCAAGCCGATGCCCCCAACAAGTATCAAATCCAAGCGCATGCCCCCCTTAATAACAAGACGAAGCCTTATGATCAACTCATGATCCAAAATCAAATTCAGTACAAGCTGTATATGGAAGAAAAAAAAGCTTTTACATTATGACCTGATAGTCCAGGACCAACCACTAATTAAAGCATAGATTAAACATACTGCAAACCACGTACAAAACATAGATTAACGTTATTAATCAAAATAGGAACACGTACAACAATATATAAGAGGATTGTAACATATAAATATATATGTCAAATCCCGCTTAATAATTGTTCATATCACATCAAATATCGACCCAGTGACCGTGGATATTCTGCCTTTGTGCTCTAACTTGAAATATGGTTTCTCTGAAATGATCTACCTGAGGATGAAAAATAATCTTGTCACCAACTCTGAGCCCCTTGTATTTGACAAACTTGAGCCAACCCTCCGCCTGAAGCACCGGCTTCCGATAACCGCCATTTCGGATGGAGCAGCACAACAGAAAATGGAAGCCCTTGTCGTCCAGGACCCCAAACTGGACCTCACGGGAGCTCCCTTCAAATGGAGGCATTTCATTAAGCCACCGCCCTGGAACCACCAGCTTATGCCCTACATCTGTTTCAGTCAGCTCTTTCTCAAGCTCATGTGCACCTGCCATTCTCTTCTTAATTAATTATCTACTATTTGTATTTGCTTTTCTTCTGCTCCTGAATGCATGGCAGCGTACGTATTTATAGCCAAGTTCATCTAGAGTTCTAAATTTTCAGCTAACTACCTAGGCAGCTACACTACACATAAAAAGTTTGATGTACCAGCTGCTTGGTTTGTCGGTCCAGATTGATTTTTTTGGATATCCATATGAATTATGATCTGTACGAATCGTCCTTGATTCCCTCCCAATCAATTCATTCTCAACAGTTTGGTCTTCTTCAATTTTTAATCATATGCTTTTTGTACCTTTGTCTAAGATTTTTATTTCTTCTTTTTGTTTTTTTCACATATGGTCCATGTTATATGGAAGTAGATGTTAGGATGTGAGCATTCAATTATTGAAATCAATTGACAATGTGTAGAAATGTCCAAAAACTTTAAAGCGACTTCCAATCTCTAATATGAGATCTTCTTCAAATATGCATCCTAATGTGTGGCGTGCAAGGCTTGCGTGCCCTTCACGTTCAATTTATATTGCGAGCATGTATAACCATTGAGCCTTATAAGTGAATAACGTAGTTTTCATATTGTATTCAAATGTGAACATTTAACTCAAAATTAATTAACAGTGAGTGAAGATGCACAAAGTGTGAAAACAAGTAATAGAAAGCTAAATTTCACATTCAAAATGGTTAAGAATTGTAATGATTCGGAGGCATTCACACTTGAACACAAACTTCTCGATTTGGACTATAATTTAGGACTGGATGGAGTTGGTGATTTGACATTATTTGGGTGGACTATGTACTCATCCAAGTGATCTGGGTGGATGTATAGGTCTTAATTCAAGTACCATTTGAGGCCCCACGTTTTGGCTTTATGCCTCTTTCAATCTCATCTTCACTCTCATTCTCACTTTATTTTCCTTTATATTCTAGCACATAAAATAAAAACTAAAAACTAAAACAAAATGATTATCAAACCAACTTTTAAGATATCATCATTTCAATTGTTTAATCTTTGTAAGCTTTAAAATACAGTTTCAGTTGGTAGTTAAAAAGGGGGTTTTTTTGTTTTTTTTTGTTCTGGAAGGCAGCCAAAAGTTTTGGGACCCACAAAATCTATTTTGCATCCATTAATGATGAAAGACCCACAAATTTGTGTCTTAAGCACTAAAATGGTTAAGACTAGTAAAGATTCGGAAGTACTCACACTTGAACACAAACACTTGTTGATTTGGATTAAGACCGGAATTAGTGATTTTGATTCGTACCATTTAGAAAATCTTGTCCTCCGGTGTTGAAGCAATTTTGTTTTATTATTAAAAAAAGCATAGTGGTCACTGGTCCAACTATTTTTAAATGAAGCACTAGTTTTGTTATATTGTTAGAAACATAATTGATGCCCCCTCTAACCTCAATTTCTGACTCCGCTATTAGTGACAAAAGCCAATAGTCACGTCCATAAATCTCATCAATTCATAATTTGTAACTGCACCGTTATTATTGCCTATAATCACCAAAAAAAAGTGACTGATACTTTTAAAAGTCACTAAAGAAAAGGTGACTATTGTTGATTTTTTTGTTTGTATTGTAGTGCTCTAACCAACAACCTAGCTTATCCAAATGAAACAAAGCATGAAGATAGCTGCCTTAACTATCTTGCTTACTAACTTAGTTTGAATAATTAAATCATAAATGGCGTCTGACATATAAGACCATGATCTGTACCATTTAGACAATCTTGTCCTGTTAAAAAAGCATAGTGGTCCAACTATTTGAGAAGCACTAGTTTTGTTCTATTGTTAGAAACATAATGATGGTGATGGATCAACTACTTAACTCTGGAACAAGTGAAACAATATTTTAGAATTAACTTACGATGATTAAAGATATTTGAAGTGGTTCGTTTGGAATCTATTTTGTCATCTATATAAGTTTGGTGCGCTTTTGAGGCCGCCGGCTGTCAAGTGTGTGTGCATGTTCACTTGAAGAGAAGAAGTATTGTTAGGTCTTTTTCTCATGCCCTACGTATACAATATGTCCCCGCAAAATATCTCCCTGGTCAGCGTGAGATGGAGATATAAAGAAAGAGATAACCTTAACCTCCCTCCTATGAGCTTTTGATTTTTGGTGTCCAGTGTGTGTGAACACCACCAGCAGAAATGGTGTCAATTGAGCCTTTTTTTTTACTACATTTTAGACTATTTGTAGAAGAAGCAACAATCACGGAATATTATTGGCCGGAAATAGCGAAACAGTGCTATACCCGTTTCACACTACATGTCTAGAGCCTCACTTTAGGATGCTTCCAAAATATGCATTAGCCCCCACAATCCAATCATCATCTTTCTAAGATGAAGGTAAAACTAACCGATGAGTGTATATAGTGGTCCAAGTCAAGTTAGTAAAGTAAAGTACGGCAGCTATATACATTGTCATATGTATGAATAAGCACTGATCATAAATAATTAAAATACGACATCACATCATCTTGAATTAATTAGTGCTAGAAAATGAACATATTTGTGTTTGTCTTCTTTCAGCTGTTTTCTTTACTATCTTTCTTTAGATCTAAATGGTTTGCCCTGCCGACCATCATCAACCTATCCTTCTGTTTGGGAGAAAAAGCTAACTCAAAATTAATGAAGATGCACTAATACAAAGCTTTCATTCACGTTCAAAATGGATAAGAATTGTAAAGATTCAGAAGCACTCACACTCATGAACACAAACACTTCTTTGATTTGGACTAATTAAGGACTGGAGTTTGTGATTTGACATTTGGGTGGATGTATTATGCATAGGTTTTGGCTTGGTGCTTTAAAAAACATAAGTACAATTACTAGAAGACAAGAAAAAAAAAGTCTCCCATAAATACTTTTTTATTTTGTTTTGGTGTGAAGTGCGAATAGTACTCCATATCCCAACAAAAAGAATAATTATTTAGTGTTTTTTTTTAAGTTAATGTAGGTTTATCTATGTGTGAAGCCTAACGGCTACACTTGTTCTATGTTATACAATATGCGTTGTTCATGTGGTAAGTTGAAATTTCACCATATATACATGGGACGTGTGAAGATAGGAAAAAATGTTTCACAACGTAAAGTTAAGAAACATAACATAGACTTACTTCATATTGTTAATTGATTATAATTAAAACTTCAATTCCTTTAAAAAGACAGAGAAAAAAATAGTAGGCATACATTATGTCACATGTCATTATAATGTTTCATATTCATTCATATTCATTCTTGCCTTTCATTTTCAATCTGGAATTCCTGAACGAATGCAAGTAATCACAGAGAGGAGGGTTGCTTTATGTCGGAGTTTGACTTCACTTTGCCTAATGGTTCCTTTTCTTTCTCAATCTTTCTCCAATAATTCATTCTCCACAACCAAAAATGTTCAATATTTCTAATAGATTTCAACATGAGGTTTAAAAGCTGTACAACTTACACTACTACATTTTAGGCTTTACGTGACGAAGGCAAGTTCGTCACGCAAAGATGACTTTAGTCGCACATAATTGTGCTTTGCACAATTTAACAACATAATATAAATATAATTTCACAACAAAAAATATAAATATAACAAACTAAGTTCAACATAATGTAAATAATTTCATATAAAATGAATAACATACCTTCTCAATCGTTCTCCACAATCGCAAATTACAAATGTCTATAATGAGAACAAAATTAATACCGTTAGTACGAATTTACATTAATACTTTCAAACAAACGACAAATAATACTTACCCAATGAGCATATTGAATTCCCAGCAGAGAGACAGCAGCGCAGCACAGCACAGACAGATTTTTAAAAATTTTCTTTGCATTCTGACTCTGCAATGGCGAAATGCAGATATGTAGAAGAAGGAGTTTGCGCGACGAAGTATCATTTTCGTCGCGCAAAACAACTTTTTCGTCGCATAAAATAACCTTTTTTCGTCGCGCAAAGACTTGTCAACATCGGAATTTTGCGCGACGAAACCATATCCTTCGTCTCGCAAAGCCTAAATGGCGTCGCGCATACGCAATTTTCCGTCGCCCGAGAACTTGCCGACATCACACTTTGCGCGATGAACCCTATGTCCGTCGCGCAAGCATTTGCCACCAAAAAATCCGTATCGCAGTTTTTCCTGTCCACTTTTACGCGATGAAATTTGTAACTGTTGCCCCAGGATATCTTGCGCGACGAACTATATCGTCGCGCAAATGTTTGGCGCCAAAAAAATTAACCCGGGTTTTTCTTCCCCACTTTGCGCGACGATTTGTTTGTTTGTCGTGCTAAGCATCGATCTTTGCGCGACCAAATATTTCATCGCGCAAGAGTTTGTAGTTTTGCTCGACGAATTTGTTCTTCCGTCGCAGTAGTGATTTTTTCGCGACGAATTCGTCTTCGTCGCGCAAATAGTAAAATGTAATAGTATTAATTTCACTTCTTGTCTGCTAAACCAGCGTAATTGAGTGAAGGCTTTCTCTAAGTTTGTTTGTAAGAGTGTTGCGGGTAGTCAAAGTGTTTGATATAACAATGATGGACGCATAATTTCTTACATGTTGGGGCATAAAAAAATGCAACCGATATATAGTTAAACAAAAAATTTCTATCCATGTTTGTTGTCTATAAAACCAAGCTTAAATAAAAGGAAATAACATTATATGATGAACTCATGATGCTATATATGGAAATAAAAGCTTTTACATTTATATTATGATGACCTGATCCAAAAGAAACAGAGATTAAAATAATACAAACTCCATACAACATAGATTAACTTATTCATCCAAACCATAAACATACAACTACATAACAACATTGGCATATATATATATATATATATATATATATACACCAATCACTCATAATAAATTATTCATATGATCAAATATCGGCCCAGTGACCGGGGATGTTCTGCCTTTGTGCTCTAACTTGAAATATGCTCTCTGAAATGATCTACCTGAGGACGAAAAATAATCTTATCTCCAATTTTGAGCCCCTTGTA